TTATATGCTATTTTGCAGGAGCCCAGAAGGAGGGTGCAGCAGGCTTCTTTAAAGGTGTTGGGAAAGGTCTGGTTGGTGCAGTGGCCAGACCTACAGGAGGGATTATTGACATGGCCAGCAGCACCTTCCAGGGGATCAAGAGGTATGGTTACAGTATTTCTGTGTGTTTGTATTCCCATGTCATGTACTGTGGTGCATATGTGTTTACAACAGTGTGTTTGCTGAGAGGTGGTGCATGAAAGTGTATGCACATTCAATGTCTGTCCTCTGCACATTGTTCTTACTTTTGCTCTTTTTTGTGGAGCTGGATTGTTAAACACTAAAAGAGTAAGCACAAATGCATCATACAGTGAAGACAATTATTTGTGGCATACAGTGTTGTCAGAAAAACATAATGCATAGAGACAAGATTTTTTTTAATTGCAGCTGGTAACTGGGTCATGGCACAAGTATCTGCATGTACATGTGAATGTTTGCATGACATTGTTATGTTGTGTCTATGCATTTATGCAGTATATAGTCCTGTTTTGTGTTTGTCTGCATTAGGAGCTTGTGTTTCTAAATGCACTTTCATTGAGGTATATTTGTGATATTGGGCTATACAAATAATAATTTACTTGATTAGTGTGTTTTGTTTTCAGGGCAGCAGATTCTTCAGAAGATGTTGAATCTCTGCGTCCTCCTCGCTTCATCCATGAGGATGGTGTGATACGACCTTATAAGGAGAGGGAGGGCATTGGCAGTCAGATGCTGCAGGTAGGAGAAAAATGTTAGCACCACTCCAAAGTGGTTAATATTTGACATTTTACTGAAATGAGGCAAACTCTATTCAAGATTTCTTTTAATACAGTTAAATTATTTATATTATTTTTCACCTTTTGTGTCTTTTCATTGAATTAAGTGGTATTTCCTTTGCCATTAGTAACTTTCGTCTGACGTTAGCAAACAAAGTAAATAAATATAAGCAAAAATAGAAACAAATGTTAGAACACGTTCAGCTCCAAGGCAAATATAATTTTTTCCTGAGCCATTTGGTGTCCATATGGATGTTTCCACTCATTCTTGTGGAAAAGAAATGCTGTGTCTTATTGTAACATAGGTTTAGGACCATGTGATGTGTTAACATTGGTTCTGTTTGGCAGATGACACTACACCTGGATGCAAATGTTCTCCCCGAGGTTTTTGTAAAATATTTATAGGAGACATATATCAGAATAAAAATACACTGTAGCTGATCAACCTGAACTTGTGTTCAGCATGGCTTTGAAGTCACTGAGGTCTGCTTCATTTAAGCTTTAAACTGTGGGTCACTTTGTTGTGCTGACATTATCTAACAGTCCTGCTGGATGTAGCGGGTTGAAGTGTCTGCTTATGAGCCTCAGGTCAGAGCTACACGATTACATTACCAGTAAGCATGTTGTGTTTAGGACTGACTCTTAAATTCACATATAGGAAAAACTACCATAAGTGCCTCCAGAACAGCATCATTTGCATAGAGTTTCTGAATTCGCCTGGAGGGATTCTGCCAAAAGCTGTTCCCTCCTTTGGTGTTTTTGTAAAATGTTGCTCTAGTGTCTTCCTGCAGCTCTCGTTTGAGATCTGGTGACTGCACCAGCCACGGCGCTAGACCCATTTTCATACTTACTAAACCATTTGGTGCACCCTCTTGCTTTGCGTAGAAGCATCTGCATTTGTTACGTCTCTACTCATTTTAATTAGGTTTTTCCATTAATTTGTCATCCATCTCTATCACAGCTTTATATGTATGTTTGTTTATATGTATGCTGTGTTAGTAACAGATCATTCCCCAAATTAGGACGACAAATCCACTACAAAACTCAGTGGGATACCACATTATATTCTTGTGTTTTATTTTTCTGGTGTAGCTGCTTAAATAGACTTCAAATAAATTGTGGCTGAACTTTGTGTACATATTTATACTACTTGGGTATACTTTGTTAGGTCCCAGTAGATTCAGATCAGATGGATCAGATTTACGGATTCAGAAATGTCATGTAAAACCTAATGGAGATTTGAAGGACCTAGCTGTAGTACCTTTGAGGAAAATAAAAGAACGGCCATTGGCTGATACTGACCCCACTTTACACATCACAGTGAGCCTGTGCCACTGTGTCGATCCCCACAGCACAGTGTAGAAACAGACCTGGGTTCTCTCTGCTCTGACCCTGACTTTTCTCTCTTGTCATGTCCACAGAGGGCCCTGGCCTACAGAAAATGGGGTAGAGCTGACTCAGAGGATGAGTGTGATGAGGAAGGAAGCTAGAAGCTAGAAGTGACAGCTGTAGTGTAGGGCTGTTGCATTGTCAGTAGTCTATGCTGCAGTGTAGCTGCTCTCTGTTAGAAGCTCTCTTTGGAAGATCTAAACAAACCAAAGAAAGGAAGTAAAGAAATTTATTTTTTACATATATTTTATTGTTTAATTTTTCTTTGTTTTTTTTTTATCTTTATCTTTCATGATTTGACTCCTTCTCTTCTACTTTTATTTTCATCATTTTATCACAAGCAACAAAAACACCAGCTTTGCTTGTCATTGTTTAAATTTTCATTAATTCCTCACAGATCATTTTGTCTGTTTTATCATTCACTGCCACTGTTTACTGCCCTCTTGTACTCAATAAAGTGTTCCTGTTATAAACTTTTACCTGTCGTTGTCTTTGTTTCATCCCATCCTCACCACCCCACCACATTTTCATTTCCACTGGAGTCAGGTTTTATGCAGATATTTTGCTTAAGCTCATGCTTCTTACAGTAGACAGTTTTTGGAACACATTTCAGTTGAATTCAGATGGTGAGAACTTGTTTTCTTTGGGTGTTTGATTAAATGTGCCCCTGCTTTATTTTCCTGTCTTTTTCCAGAAAATTGAAAATGGACGTTTTGCCAAGTACAGATACTTCGCTCATGCTAAGGTCAATGACTCAGACTTCCTTATGATCACCAAGAGGTGAGAGTTTTTATCCAAGGTAGAGTTGTACTGTGTTGGAGTATTGTCCAAGCAGATATCCAGGTCTCATTTTAACCCTTTCTTTGTGATTTCTACTCCAGGGGCATATTTTTTGTGACCAAAGGCACGTTTGGCCAGTTGACCTGTGAGTGGCAGTACCTGTTTGAAGAGTTCACTAAGGATCCGATGATTGTAGAGGACCGACGACTTCGCATTGAGGCCAAGGTACAAACGTTAACTGTCACAATAGAAGCCCATACCAGAAGCAGCCCGTTTTCCCCTTGGGAGGCTAAAGTTTTAATTATTAGCAGGTTTTATTATTAGCAGTTATTTAGCAGTTACTGCACTAAACCATGTCCTGTGGTCTGCAGGAGAGAGTAAAGTCAGTCTTCCATGCCAAAGAGTTTGGGAAGATCATAAACTTCAAAACTCCTGAGATTGCCAAGGTAAGTTCAAGATTGACACTGGAAGATGCTCTTGTTTATGTATTTTATATATGTCTCCATTTTCTTTTTTTCTTGTTAGTTTAAGAAATGCCTAACTGTTATCGGCTATGTATATAGAATCAATATGAGCCAATGTTTTCTGCACTGGGTGTCATCCAGGCCTGAGCTAGGCATGTCCAATGTGGAGTCACAGTCTTACTATTATTATTTCATTTCAGTGGGTTCTTGCCAAACTGGAGGACGCAAGAGAGAGTTTACCCAAATACTGATTCATCAAGAAGAAAAATAAAGATAAAAAAAAAACACACACAAAGTCTGTGTGTGTCAGTGCCTTTGTTCTTTACTGCATGCTAGTTTTGTTTACCTCCATGTGTGATGCTGACCACTGGTGTCTGATGGGGGTAAGAGACTGAGCAGTTTGTAGGTGTGCATGCCAACACAAATGCTACAAATGGATGACTGACTTACATACACAGACACTTGGAACACAGTGAACCAGACTTTGTCTCTCTTGCTTTGCACTCATCCTACACAGAATGAGTTTTAATGATTTCTTTTATTAAACCTTGTGATATCTGCTTCCATTTGACAAGATGGTAAAATTGGGGCATTTTAAATATTCTAAGCCTTTAGTTTCCCTTGGTTCTGCTTGCTGTACTCGGTCAAACGCACATTGTCATTAATTTCATTTGGTTTCACTTTCACTGAAAATGTCAAGTTGGATTTAGCTGTAGAAACATCACTGTTACTGTACACTGCATTATATGGGCCAAATTAACCACAATTGTTGTAGCACATTTAATCTCGTAAAAGGAAGACTAATTAACATTTTGAGTAGGGCTTTATAATACACGGTTCACAATGGCTGTCAGCAAAACGTTTCCTCTTTTTATACATTTCTGCAAGAGAGACTGTTCAGTGTGTGATTTAGAGATGCATGCTATTTTTATACTGGAGCTAACCTTGATCAATCAGCTGTATATTGATCTCAAACTATCTAACCTGTATATATCCTTCCTCACACCATAGTCTGTATTACGGCATTACAGATTGTAATTCTGTGATTGTTATGTTTTTATACCACACACATGCAATGCCGACTATGTTGAAGAGTTATGCAGAGAAAAATATATTTAAAAGAGATGAATGCTGATTATTTTCAGCTGTTTACTGTGGCGTTTATTTTTAAGGTTTGGTTTGGGGTGCAGTTTATGATTAAATGTCAAAGTTGCCATTAATGTTTGTTATTTATGTTTTTGGGGAGCACAATCTTTACTGCAGTGGCTTAATTTGTTCCTCAGCTGTTTCCAAAAAATAAAATGTGTGTTTCAGATTTCAGTGCTCTTATTTTTTGTACCCAGACTGTGCAGACTGTCCTGAGTAAATAAGGCACTTCCAGTCTTAGAAGAAGGAAAAAACTACACAATATTAAATCGCAAAACAAGGTTACCAACTATTGCATTTTATTTTAATTAGCACTCAAAATACACAGAAGTAAGATCTAAGAAGTAACTACAGCGTCCACACGTTGAGTCTAGAATAAGATTCCACATTCTCATCTCTACAAGAAAATATAATTTACATCATATCTATACAGTAAAGACTAGATCTGAAACTATAAAGGTATATTTTCGACAGCATCCTACAGAATCAATAGTTGGAGTATGTCTTATCACAACATGTTCATATTCTCTTAGGCTCTACAAGCACATAAGAGCTCACTTGTTTGAAATGAAAATATTTGAACCTGAGATTTTTTTAAATGTAATTCTCCTCTTATCTTGCCTTTTACCCTCCTGTCATCATCCTTTTTTTACACCAGGTTGAACTCCTTCAGGTTGTGTCTGAGGATGGTGTCTTTGACGGCCACGAAGACAAAGCGGATGTTTTCTGTGTCTGTGGCGCAGGTGAAGTGAGAGTACAACTTCTTGTCCGTGTCGGGGTTTTGTTCTTGATACATTTTCAGGATAAATTCTTGAGCTGCATTCTGGTCCTGCTGAGGTCCTGCAATTCAGGGTCAATATTATTTGTGCTTTTTAGATGTTTTCAGTAAATTCAACATATAAATGATTTATTTAAGTAAAAATGAATAGTCAAGCCTGTTCTTTAAAACATCCTGTAAAAACAAAGGATTCAAAATGTCCAAAGGCTGATCATTATGATTACACAGAGCATCTAAACATAGGCACTTAAACCCAGGTCTGACCCGTGAATTCAGGGTGATTATTCAAGCAAACTGACCTGTGAATTCAGGAAAGTAGGTGGCTAAGTGAGAGTACATTATTTTCTCCTGGAGGATGTCGGTCTTGTTGAGGAAAAGTATGACAGAGGAGCGCTGGAACCAGGGGTAGGTGATGATGGTTTTGAACAGAGCCTTGCTCTCCTCCATACGGTTCTGAAACATAATTGCATTACAGGCAACGATAATGAAGACACACTAAAGAATCAGAGCCTGGAGCAATATCTGCAGTTTTTGAATTCTCACCTCATTGTCGCACTCAACCAGGACCTGGTCATACTCACTGAGGGCCACCAGGAAAATGATGGAGGTGACATTCTCAAAGCAGTGGATCCACTTCCTCCGCTCTGACCTCTGACCCCCCACATCCACCATTCTGCCATGACATCCAGTCCCAATGACAGAAAAGGTAAGCCACATCTTAAGTCACCTGTAATGCCTATAGCCAGTTTGAATCATTGCTTGTTATGTTGTGTCTCACCTGAAGATGACATTCTCCATGTCAAAGGGGTATTCAATGATACCTGTGGTTGGCACTCGGACTCTGAGGATGTCCTGAAGGTCAGGTATGTAAGAGGGCTGTGAAATTCGATCCAGGTCGGTGAGATAGCTGTATAGGAAATAAGCACACGAGGAAGAGAAATATAAGAAAATAACAGCATTAGCTGAATTTTGTACCTATTCAAATAGATATAAACCATATTAACTGTGAATTGAGCTATGAGGCGGAGACGGTGAGGACAGAACCCCCCGTGTGCGAGTTGTGTGTCTAACGCTCACTATTTGGTGGAGTCAGACAGCTGGTATTCCCTGCGTCGGTCGTAGCACTCTTGTATTCCTCCATCCTTCCACAGACTGCTGATGGCCATCGCAAGGCTTTGATCCAAATCCTCTACCTTATCCACCTCCACCTCCAGGACTGAGTTGGCATTGCTCTGTGAACACACAGACAAAGACACTGGTTAGAAAATGGTCCATCGCACATGTTCTTTACTTCTCTTACCTTGGGGAAACAGATGGAGGAAAGAAAAAGAAACAAGTTTAGATTTTAATAAATTTGTATAGTTATATTATATACATATAATCTTTTATTTTTTTCCTTCCACATCATGCATCCATCCCATCTCCTAGAAATCACAAATTACATTTATATCTTGATCTTTCTACTACCTACAATCAAAAAAAAGTTGCTATGGTATGTAAAGTCAAAATTAAAGCTTAAAGCAGTGATTTGTAAATCATCTGTGTCCTGTATTACATTGAAAACAACACAGCAGCACATTATTTGAAGTGATGCCTCATCAATTTTATTCTTTGTTCAAAACAAACACTCACTTCAGTCTTGATGCTTGTAGCACATTCCAGAAAATGTTTACTGACAGTAAAGCGTTTACCACGCTGTGATGTTGCCGTTCCTTTTCACAGCTTAAAAGACTTTTTGGGACTGAGGACACCAAGTGATTGTGTCAAGTGTAATTGACAAACAATCTTGACAAAATTGCAAACAAGTCTTAAAGTGTGCAACAGTCCTGGGTCTTTGTTGACACAATGTGCATTTCAAAATGTGCCACACATTCTCTACTGGAGGCAGGTCGGGTATCTCTGGAAAGATGTTGTCTTGAAGGCAGCATATGTTGCTCCAACATCTGTTTGTGTTTTTCAGCATTAATGGAGCCATCACAGAAGTGTAAGTTACCTTTGCCAAATGCACTGACCCAACCCCAGACCATGACAGACCCTGGCTTTTGGACTTGTTGCTGGTAACAGTTTGGACGGTCCTTTTTGTCTTTGTTCTAGAGCACATGGTGTCCATCCCTTCTAAAAAAGACCTGAAACACTGATTTGTCTGACCACAGTACACCTTTCCACTGTGATTGCCGCATGGCGCAATGGTAGCGTGTCTGACTTCAGATCAGAAGGTTGCGTGTTTGAATCACGTTGGGGTCATGTGAGGTCATTCTTTGGGCGGTGCTCCATCCATTCCTTATCTATAGTGATTATCCTGACAAGGTTGGGTGAGAAGCAGGGTACGCCCTGGACAGGTCGCCAGTCTATCACAGCACTCGCACCCTTTTCCTCCATAGCCAGGCCTTGGTAATCTGTGCAGTATGAGGTTTGCATTGTCTTGCTGAAATAATCATGGGTATCTCTGGAAAGATGTTGTCTTGAAGGCAGCATATGTTGCTCCAACATCTCTGTGTTTTTCAGCATTAATGGAGCCATCACAGAAGTGTAAGTTACCTTTGCCAAATGCACTGACCCAACCCCAGACCATGACAGACCCTGGCTTTTGGACTTGTTGCTGGTAACAGTTTGGACGGTCCTTTTTGTCTTTGTTCTAGAGCACATGGTGTCCATTCCTTCTAAAAAAGACCTGAAACACTGATTTGTCTGACCACAGTACACATTTCCACTGTGAGGACCTCATGGCGCAATGGTAGCGTGTCTGACTCAGATCAGAAGATTACGTGTTCAAATCATGTTGGGGTCATGTAAGGTCATTCTTTGGGCGGTGCAACTGATGTAGTATATGTTTTTATTATAGTTTTCACATGCTGTTTTTAAAATTGCCTTTATTTTGTATTAATATTTATCTATTTTATATTTAGATTTTATATTGTTTGGCATTCGTTATGGACAGCAAAGGAAGAATTTCATTGTGCAGGGAAACATGCTTCCTTACTGTGCATATGACAATATGACAGATGTGATGGTCCATCCCAGATGCCTCTGAGCCCAGAGCAGTTGACTGTGCTTCCGAACATTGTTTTTAAACATTTCAATAATTTTGTCAGGTACTGTATATGTTGGCAAACTGGCGGTCCTCGGCCCATCTTTGCTCCTAAAGGGCTCGGCCTTTCCTGGATGCCACTTTTGTACCAAATCATGATTATACTCACCTGTTGACATCAGCTGTTTCAAAAGGAATCATCATTTCATTGTTTTGCCTCATTGCAACTTTTTTCTTTGGAATGTGTTGAGGGGGGGTCAGAACTGAAGTGAGTGTTTATTTTGAACAAAGAATAAAATTGATGAGGTATCACATCAAATAATGTGCTGTTGTAGTGATTTTCCATGTAATACAGCACACGCATGATTTACAAATCACTATTTTCAGTATTACTTTTACATATTGTCCCAACTTCTTCTGATTTGGGGTCATATCTATCCATCTACCTGCCTATTTAGTTTCATTTAACCTTCAGCATTTTCTGTTGTATTAAAGCAGACAGCCTGATTCGGTTGCATACTTGCAATACTTATAGTTATCTATACATATAGATAAACGGATAGATACATAGATATTTGTGTTTATAAATAATGAAACAAAATTTCTTTTTACAACCTTAAACTGTGCTGTAATAATATTTAGTTTTATACAAAAAATAGGTTTTATACAGCCATGTATACCTGGTTCTGGGGATCGGAGAAAGATATGCCAAGCGTCTCCATAGCTCGGACCATGGTCTGCATGGACGTGTAGATGTTTTGGAAGACCAGTTTGGCGTAGCTCTTCTTGTCCTCATCCGTGTATCCTCCTCCATGGATAATTCTCATTTGTTTGATAAAGGTGCTCTTTCCACTCTCTCCTGTACCTGTTGGATACAGCAGTGGATAATCCAATAATACAGTTATGCCAAATATTTAGTATAATTACTACATCTTAACACACTATGAATAATGCTCAAGGAAAGCTTGTGCTGAATGAGTGGAGACAGGAACGGAGGCTGCTGGTCAATGTTATGGTGTCAACACTAATAGACAGAGAAGCATTGCATCTGTGGACACATGGCGACAGCAGTACTGTAATATTTTACTGGTCTTTAGTTTGTAAATAATTGTGTTACTGGCCAATTTGTCAGCGGTATTTGTGAAAGGAATTTGTTGACCTTTGTATTTGGTTGATCGAAGAAGACTCAAGACATGAGAGTTTCCCAGTTTAGAAAATGTACTTAACAAGCTTGGGTGAACATTGCACACACTACAGCATCTTAGTATGTGTTCACAAAAAATCAAATGCATCTGTCCTGTATATATGGTAGCAAGAGACATTCCTGGCATTAACCTTCTAGCCTGTTTTATTTTTCTTTAATGGTGAGTCTAAATTCCTGTAAAACCTCATACAGAGGCTAAAATGCAGGCTTTGAGGCCCCATGGAACATTGGACAGTAGACTTGAATGTCCCAGCTATTCCTGGCATACGACCAGTCATGTATGATGACAAGGTCGCGCATGTTACATATACAGATGAGGTAATCCTGAAGTCATGTCAAACACAGTTACTGACATTTTGACAGTGTAGAGTTTGGATTGTTTTGACTCTTGGCTTTGAAAGAGGCTCATGGTGCTGGATAAAGGATGACTGGGATCATCATTGTAAAGCCAGACAACAGGCTTCGAGTGTCACATGTAGTATATGTGAGATGAAAGTTCACACTCATCTGGTACTAAGAGTCAAGCTGAAGTAAACACTAAAGGAGCAAACAAGTGCTATGCTAACTCTCGATTGCTAACGTGTCTGTGCAGGGATACACAGGCAAACTGAACGATTTGAATGTATATTTGACTGCCAAAAAGACATGTGTCAATCTCTAGGTGCAGGAAGCAAACAAATGGCCTCCTCCCAGCTGCATTTTGCTGACATCCCCAACTTGAGTATCCAAAACTGCTTCCATACAGATTCCAGTAGCTGAAGACATTATGCTGTAAGTGATATTTACTCTACTAGTACACTACTGTACTGTAGGCATGAAAAGAAGGGTGTGCCAAAAATACAGGAAGCAAAGCACCTTTACTCCTACTCCTTCCACAGCTGTTCATTTATGGTCAGCTGGGAGTGGCTACAATGCCAACATTAACTCAGTGTCATTCATAATGTTGGTTTGAGGTTTTAAAAAAATATGGTCTTAGTCAACTGTTTGACCTTGTGTTAGAACATGTTTATATGGAAATCACTTTATCATTCACCAAGATCGTATCGAACAAGAGTAAAATTAGATCAGTGTGTGTGTTTGATAGTGTCATAGGGTTCTGTTGAGTGTCGGTGGTGGGTGTTTGGACACATACTGGATTTCCACTGACAGACAAAGGCCATTTAATGATGATAAATTCTAAATTCACTAAATCACAAGTCCATTAACTGTCTTAGTTAGTTAGCCAACATCTAACCGCTTATTCTTGTTTTCATTATGATCACAGGAACAAAGATCCACACATGTCTACGCACATACACGTCCCATTCCTCCTCAGTTTTTACAACACAAGCTCCAAATTTTTTCAGCCAGACCACATGATGCTGTATCTATTTGTTTAACAAATGTGTGTATGTTAACAGACCTGAATATTGGAAGTTGTCATGTTTGTGTGCTTGTGCTGTGCACGTGTGTGTGTGTGTGAGCATAGACCCGCATGTGTATCCCTGCTTCTCAGAAAAGTGTGTTAAAGCTCTGCAATGTCTGGTACCAGCAGTTTTCTGGCTTTGTGACAGGTTTTGCATGGCATCATGAATACAAAGGGCTTAGACAAATTGTCTGCATTTGAATGTACCTTGTTTACAAGTCAAGTTTCTTGGAGATGACGGAGGTTTGGGTAAGACAAGCAGCTATGCAATGACAGAGGCAAATCATGAGCTTGCACGTCTGCTGTGTTTTACTCAGCCTCAAATGAACTCAAAGGCCTCACTGTTTGGTCACTGTGAGCATCCTGGTTTCAAGTCTGGCATGTTTCAGGCTATAAATGTTCCTCTGTATGTTTGCAAGTAATGGTTGTCATTGTTTTATAATCAGCTATTTGATGAATTAGCAACTTATTTAAGCTATAGAAAGTCATATAGTCAGCTATAGAAAGTCATACCTGACAAATACGTATAACAAGCCACTGGTGTGATGTGTCCAAACTTCTAAACCAAAATGACGGTGCTCATTTTACAGTTATATGCCAAAATAGCATAAAGAAGTGTAAACATGTCTTTTTTTTTTATTTGTAAAGTGGTAAAAAGATACTAGTTGAAAATTAATAAAAATGATAGTTGTAGGGGATCTAGAGGATCCAGTGTTTTGGAGTTTGACTCAAGCTAGGTATTATAAGTCAACCTAGATATACCCAGATATATTGTACATTGATTTGGAGCTTTTTTCTGTCTTTGCCATGTCTCTACCTTTGGGGAAGTGTCCTACAAATCACTGTGTAAGACAGTGAAGCTGTGCTACAACACACTGCTTTTCTAATTATTTAATATTTAAGTTTAATAAAGTGGTGCAGTGTGAATCAGTAAACATGAAACATTCCCACAAATACAGATTTGACCACAAAAACGACCTCACAGCTACACACGCTCGTTGGTGATGTGATGTGGCACTAGCTGAATGAATGAATGTGGAGTTACTGTCGCTGAGATAAAAACTATCAGGTTTTGCACTCTGTCCTCTCACCTTTTTTTTCAGCTGTAATAAACACAGCAGGTGAACCTTTGTGGGGAAATATAGGGTACATTTCCTTTAACAGTATGACTTGTTCTACAGCCACTGCATATAACGACCCCTAATCTTTACCAATTATAAACAAAAATGTCATCTGTGTACTCTTTCAACATTGTCTACTGTGTTTTCTGCTTGAGTTTTAGTTGGTTAATATTTAATATTAATACTACATACAGTATATTAAAATATTCATGTACAGACCAGACCACAGACAAATGTAAATATACAGACCATCAACATGTGGTAGATGATGGAGGGGGTTTACAGGACATGCTTTCACTTATTCCGGTTACTCCGGACTTGTAGTGAGACTGCAGCTAAACCAGATAACTCATACTTGCAGTCGGTACTGGACAGAGTGATGCTGACATGTCTGCACCTTCCCACAGCTTTTCAAGTTGAGTTTAAGGCCAGTGGGTCAAAAACAGAGGCAGAAAGTGAATGTGTTGATCTTTCATTCTGCTTCACTCCCATCCTAATGAAATCCACTGAGGACTTAGAGTCACTCTGATCAGGTAAATACACATTATTGTTAAAGTATTTTCCAGATGTTGAAGATTACACTGTATTATATCAATTGGATTAACCTTCAAAATTTCCAGGGTAAGCTACAAGAGTAAATTGTCTCTTAACATCATTGTACATCATTTTAAGTTCTGAAATAATGTTTTCTTGTTGTCACAATTGGTCTTTTTGGTCTACAAAGTGGGTTTTGATAACGGAGTCATATTTCTGCATTAAACTATGACACACATTCCTGCATAGTACCTCAGCTCATCGGACATTTCAGCCTCTGTTTGGCTGGACTTCAGCCACTGCGTTTATTCTTCACTCAAAATAAATTGCTTAGCAGTTAGTTGTAATATCTATTTTAGTTCTTGTCACATCCATAATGCACGTGTTATCACAAATTAAATGTGATTTCTAATGAATTTTGGTTTGGCCGTTATGGACAGTACTGACCTTACCCTCTCTCTCGGCCTGTGAGAAAGTCCTTTCTAAAAGATAGGTGGAGGCAAACCTACGGTTCACGCTCGGGGATGAATTTGCATGATTTTTGCATGAGGCGCGCCCGCAGCAGCTAGTTATGGCTTTCAAACACATCTCTGACTGAGGCCTTGACGGTTGACTTGTGACCCTGAAGTGCTCCCACATTATAAGGGTGTTGTCCAAAGGACCGGCAGATGCTCTTAGGATGTGGCAAAACCTTGTTTCCTCTTTTGCCGGATCGGTCAGCTGTTCCCTTAACAGTCGACAGAAAACGTGAGACTAATACCCATCAGAGAAGTTTCATATTATTCATCTGTCTAAATAATAAATACAATGCCTCACTGTTTAAATGTCGCCACCATGAAGCAGGGCTGTGCCAATGAAAAACGCAGTTGTCAGACTGACTGACTGTCTTTGAGTTGTACCAGTAATTCAGAGATTACCACAACTTATTGATGATATCTCCACGTTAGTTTTTTATCTTTTGCCTTTCTCTTAGTTGTGCTCACATGAGGTCGGGGTTAATTCCAAAAGGGCGAGAAACGCCACACATTGTGCGCATTTAGACTGAAGACGAGCTCACGTCGAAACATCTTAAATCTCAATATTTTATCTTAAATAATCAGGTTTCTCTTTGCGTATGACTCTTTTCTGTATATAAATATCAGGTGAAAACCACTAAAGTCCAGCAGATAAATGAATCAAGGATGAAAAACTGTTCAATGTGCGTAAAATCAATGGCACAACTCTGGCGCACAGCCGGACTGTTAGGGGGAAATATCAGAAGGCCGCATCCGGAGCCACGAAAGAGGGACGAGAAGAAACTAAAGGAGTGAAAGGGGGTATAAAATCGATTTTACGTCAATTATTGACAGGCCGCTGAGTGCCATGCATGCAGGTGTGGTTAGGAAGCAGTGAAGTAAAGGCCGTCTCTGATGACTCACTGGCCTCCTGTCATTATCACCAGAGATATAAACCAAACCACCTCAAACTGTTCAATCAGAAGAACAATTTTAAGAGCTTGAAAAAGCAATTTGACGACAATTTTCCCGAAGAGTCACAGAAAATGTAAGGATGGGGATGCCTGTCAACAATTTCATCCGCACATCCCCAGTTTACAACAGAGTTGCACATAGTTACTTTGGGGTAAGGGCCACTAACAATGTGTAAAACCAGTTTAGGACCAGTCTGCGGTTATGCAGCAAGCTCAGTGATTCCTGGCCAGTGATGCTCACCTAACAGCAGCAGCTTCAGCTCCCTGCGCGAGTCCTTCTTGTCTCTCCGCAGCTGCTTCTCGATCTCCTCGTTGATCCTCTGGTTCTCTCTCTCCTCCGCCGATATACAACACCCGGCCATCACCAGCTCTCCAACGCGCCCTCTGCTCTCAAAGTGAATTATTGAAGCCCGTGGAGATGTTTGTACCGTTTCTTCTCCACTCCCTGCCCTCTCTCACACTTAAATTCAGAGGGAAAAGGCACAAAGCATCTTTAAACGTGATGCCTTCTTCTTTATTTCAAGTCCTAATGGGAAGAGCAGTTTATTATGGAGGATAACGAGTTGACTAGACGGCTTTTAAAACTGTTTCAATATTCCACAGATAAGCAGAGGATCGTTCAACTGAAAAGGTCCAAAGAGCTTTTCTCAGGAATAAAAAGTGTGAACCCACTTCGATGCGGTGCTGCGGTTGGTCTGAAGCTGGAAGACACTTGCTTAACTTGACCCAGCCGACTCATGAGGGCGTGGCACCAGTTGCAAATAGAAAAGGATAAAGTGGGAAGTTAACGTGAACACACCTGGGGGAATGTCCCTGTAGCTCACAGAGACACCTCTGACGTGATGGGTAATGAGCAGAAACTGGATGGAGGAATTAGAGGAGTGTTAAAAAAAGACTTTAATCACAGAAAGCTGCAAAAGTAAAAGAAAAGCCACGGACAGTCTTAGGCCTCTCTTAAAATGAGCGCTTAAGGGCAGTGGTCACATGTTTTCCAGCCGCAAGTAACAAGTCTGCTGCGAGAAGGGAGCTGAGGTATCCCGCTTCAGTGCGTCCGCTCACACTGCCATGTTTCCTGCTGGCCACTAGGGGTCAGGAGGCCCTCCTGGGGCCCCCCGCTGTGTGAACCAATATTTGAGTTAGCACCCTGAGTCCTCTCAGGAGGACAGCGCTTTCAGAAGAGAAGGAAAGCAGTTGTGGTTACAGTATGCAGCTATCATATTTTATCATTACTATAAAACTCAAAAAAGAAAAAATGGAAGGTGAAGCTATGTATAATTAAGTCCATAGAAACATCAAATGCTATTAAACAAGACCTGAGCCTTTGGGAAGAGTATGGTGATTTTCCTTTAGTTTGGAAGGCAAACTCCACAGATGTGTGGGTGCCTTGACCGTAACCAGTCCTTGTCATTCACACGTTCAAAGATGGTTTAGTATAGCTAACCTTGGTGAAAAATAACCACAGGCAGTCTTCTGGCTTTTTCACCTTTTTGTAGAGTTTACTCTGTTTTGTCCTCAGTAGATGCATTTTGTGAAGTACCGTGAGTCATCATGGTTGTTTTTAAGCATGAACATTATGAACAAGAACTGATAAATAACCTTTCTGCTGAATGGATCAGGGAGGATCTGTTGGCTGCTGTATTCAGGTCAGTGCAGTGGGATGAAGGTGCTCTGCTGGGGTTAATACTTCCGTTTAAAATGCAACAGACTACTTTTTTTACCTTTGATGTTGCAGAGGTCATTTGCTATGTCTACATCAATCCTTCATTTTTATTTAAAAAAAACATTTTATGAAATGTGATGAACTAGCTTGGAGTTGATTTCTAGTCAGAAGTTGTAAATACACTTCATTTGCTGTGGTGTTAGAAGTTATAAACCAATGTAAACAAAGCCAGCTTCCACAAAGCCAAGTATTCATATCTTTGTCAAAGTATTCAGTTGTTCTGTTTTGTTTTTGCATGGAGTAATATAAATTACTTAAGTCAACAGGGATAAAATATTCAAATTAACCTTGAAGGGGCAGTTTCATCCCACGTGTGCTTAGGGCACATTTTATTGAACTGTACAGAGTTTATGATTTTACTTAACATCATGTCTGTGTTCACTTTAATTAACTTCTAGTGCGTGACGGTGGATGGCAATACAAACCGGAGTTCAAACACAGCTTGGTTTACAATAGATTGTCTGGCAGAGCCTAATGCTCACATCGTGACATACAGTATTGGTAACAGATCTGAGCTAACGAACTGTGCAGGGATATAGATTCAAAGGCATCAAATGGCATTATAGAAATGATAGCTGTATTACTAAAATGACAGTAAAAATCTGAGTGAACACTTTTTGAAAAGAAACATGTTGCTTCGTTCAGAAACATGTTGAAGGAGTGCAAGTTTATGGATACATGAAACATTTTATACAATTAGGACTGAAGATCATCATAATAACACCATTTCATAATTACTCATTTAACTTCATATCTTCAGGATCTGGAAGCAATCCCCCCCAAAACTCAAAAGTAGGCTAGATGAAAGTAATGTGTCCGAGTACTGAGTAAAACAAGTTTATGGGGTTTCCGCACAATCCCAGAATTTCCTCAGTATACTGCTGGTAACACTGCACAGCATGAACATACTGCATGAAGTCTGAACAGCAGCGGAGGTTTCAAGTGAACACCAGCTGCGGTCTGTGCTCTTAAAGGGAAAATCCAGCCTGAAAGTAACGTGAACATAGACAAATCACTCACAAAGCTTGGAAACTGTCCTTTGTGGCTCATCTTTATCTGACAAAACCCAAAAATAATTTCTGCTAGAACAACTCTTAATACTAGATTCACCATCACGCTTCTTGTTTTGTCACTTCTTTAGTACATTAGCTTTTTGAATTTATTTTTTGAGGCTCACAGACAGAGATTCTGCTATGTGTGAGTGGTTTAACACAGGAACTTTCCCTCTAAGAAACATGGACAGTGTAAACAGCCACTGTACAACAGCAGGGACACCAGTCTACAGCAAGTCATCATCAACATTAACGCCATATTCAATAAAATGTTTAACAAGCTGGCCACGGGTTTCCCTATCAGGCCCTGCTGTTGATAAGTGGTTATTGTAAGATCTTTATTTACTTCAAGCACACTGTGACTCGGACTGGAAATTAACTTGTTGAAATGGTTGTTCCAAAGTCCTGTCGAGCTATTTCACCATCCTTCTGAACTGTTTGAAAACAACAAGACCTCCGAGTGAGAGCTGGTTACCTGCCAAAGCAGCTGCTAAGACGCCAAACCACAGTCAAATGAGGCAAAAACTCTCAACAGGTGGCAGGTGGCGCTTCTGGGTCCAGACTGTGACACATTTGCAAGCACATTCTGCACATCCTGATGCGTAGGAGCACTGCTGTTTAATCACTGTCATATCGAGCAGTTTAATGCATTATAATGCACTGTGGTGTGGATTTGTAAGACATGAATCTGATGTGACAACATTATGAATTCAATAGAAAGTGTTTTCTGATTACAATTAACTTATGATGTGCTTCTAATGTCTTGTAATATCAGCTACATAAAAAAAGCTGTTCCCAGGGCTTCTTGTAGCACAGAGTAAAAGAAGAGCCCGCCAAGCCAAAACCAAAAAATCCTCCAGCTCCACAATGGGACATTATTGGCTGCACTGGCTTCACTTCTCATAAAAACACAAGTGCCTTGCATGGGACTTCAGAGGCACAGCTTATTCAGTAAGACAAAATGTACATGTGAACTGTTGCTTTCTCCTACATTGTCATTTCGTAAGTCCAATAATGTCCAAATAATACTGTCCATTCTAATGAATTGGTGGCAATCACAATGGAAATTAAGTAAAAAAAAAAAAAAGTTTAAATAAAAAAAAAAGCGCCTGTAAATGTACCGTCCTAATTAGGCCAAATGGTTGAGTCATTTGAGGAGACTGGTCAGTCACTGCCTCTAACGGTTTTTATCAGTGTGGAGGTTCACTTGAGGCGGGGGATGTAGAGGGTGACGGTGTTTCCATCTATTAGCACAAGCATCTCCTCCTTAACAACTTTTTTTTAAATACAAAATCTGAGCCAAAGCAACACCCACCTTGTTCTTGCACGGCTTGTTAAATAAATCATCTTGCCTACAAAGGCGGTTTTTAGCGGGATAGGGAGTGTTCAGGATTACAAGGTGTGCAAGTAGGCTAAGAAATCTCAGAATTAATATTTATAACAAAGCTGTGTAATGAAATCAAATACAAAAGAATAAGAATCAGTGGGTGATGAGACTACGGTGCTCTGTTCCTGAAGCCAGTAATAAATGTTACAATTAGCCCTGTAGACTGGATTCAGTCTGCAGTCTTTCCATATGAAAGCCAATTTAGCAAAACAACGCTAAGTACTGGCTTATCCATCGATCGGCTGCTGGACAATATTATTCCTCGTTATGCAGTTCTAAAGCTGAGAAATAAAACTGGCAAAACACAAAATTTACATTCTCCTCTTAGAAAATAAAAGGAAAAAAAAACAAACATGTAAATAACATTTTTCTTCCAAAAAATGAATTAGCCATTAGACATACAATTACACAGATGCATATTTTCAATACCACACAATATATATGAGAGAGAGAGAGAGAGAGAGAGAGAGAGAGAGAGAGAGAGATGTATGTACAATGATTATAGCATTCATAATTGCACTATGCCTCAATAAATGTAAATTACAGGCTTATGTTCTGGGGAACTGTGACCAAAAAAAAAACAAAAAAAAACAAAACAAAACTCTAAATAACTTGGGAATGAGGACTTGCGAATCAGAGGTGCCAAATCAGAAACAAGAGGGGCTTACTTTGGTACGTCAACACAGGAGTTGGCCAGATTTACGCTCCACTGCTACTGAACTACAACAATCAAGACATCCAGGCCGTGACGGGACAATTATAAAGACACAACCAAAAGGTGACAGGGTCGTCTGCCGGGATGACTTGGTAGAATACTTCAAAAATGGCAAGGATCAATAAGTCAGTCAGTAAAGTCAAGTCGGTCCTTTCCTTCTGCTTTGATCAGCCCTGCTCTTTCCTGGCCTCAACACTTTTCATTATAAACAGCTGCAGCGAGGAGTCTGGTGCTCGAGTTGGTTTGGCATTGGCAATAAATATACATATTACCATAATAAAAAGCATGAATGTAGCACAGTTGAACATAATCATTTGACAACAACATACTCATAAATGATCAGCTCCTCAGCTCCCTTCACTCTGTGTCAAGTGACCGCCACCGTCAAGATGACAGAGCAGCGGCCTCTGCGTGCACCTCCTCCCCTCGTCGCTCAAAGCATTTTTAAAGCCAGTTACACACACTACTGGATTTCATGGCTACGTTGATGGTGGAAAGCTCTCGCACGACCGCCGCTCGACACATGATGTGTGCTTCCATGGTCGAACAAGCCCCACTCACTGGATGGCACCAAAGTTAATACAATTTAATAATGATCAGCTTCAATCACTAACAAATCAATACGAAATGATTTAAAAATCACAGTTTACACCTAGTCCTCGAAAGACTTGCCAATCAGTCCTTTGAGTGATCTATTACACAATTTCCCGTTGGGCAAACAGGTAAACGCCCACGATGAAGCTTCAGAATGAACCAACAGGTAAGGAGGGAGGGTAAAAAAAAGGAATGAAAACCTTCTCTTTTCCCTTCTTGTTTATAAAAAGGCAGGAGGGAGGGAGCACAATGCAGTCGTTCCAGCCCTGATGTATCAGACTGACAGACAAAACAAGCCCCCGGACCTCGAGTGCACAAAATAGTTTCTTTCTATGAAAAACAAACAAAATTTCACAATGCGCAAAGCCTAAAAGTGAGGATCATTGCTGTACATGTTCAACAGCAAATCCCTCCCCCAACCCTTCTGAATTTCTTGCCCCCTCCCTATTTGTCATCAGCTCCTTAAATAGCAAGATAACATCTACTTTGCTCACCCCTTGGCGACCAAGAGATCAACAAATGGCAAATAAATTAGTATTATGCAACCATTAGACGTTTTTCTCAGATTTTTTTTCTGTGTGTGTATATATATATGATCCATCTTTTCACAGATTGCGTCAGTCAGTGTGTGCTGAGGGCCCCCGGTGACGGTCCTGCTCCGCTCTACACCAGGTTGTACTCCTTTAGGTTGAGCTGCAGGATGGTGTCTTTGACGGCTGCAAAGACGAAACGGATGTTCTCTGTGTCAGTGGCACAGGTGAAGTGAGAGTAGATGATTTTGTCGCTGTCGGGATTCAGGTCCACAAACATCTTGAGGATAAACTCTCGCCCTGCTTGGGCATCCCTCTGTGGACCTGGAGAGAGAAAAATAGGTTCCATCAATACATCTGCTATAGAATACCTACACATATAGCTATAGCTATGTTTTGCTGACTGTATAGACATTGAAGAGGACATAAATGCAAATCCAGAAGTCACACTAAACTAGAGATGCACCGATAAAGATATCGGCAGTGGGTCCGAAGCCACCCTCTGAGCACCCTTTGCAACAAAACCAGCAGTTATGGAGATTAAACAATTAAACAACAAACAATTAAACAAAACCTTGTTGAACAACCTGAACATCACAAAAAACTTGCAGAAATGCGACGTGATCAATCTCGCTGTGGTCAGAGTGCCTGGCCCCATACAGTGCTAAGTGGTAAGAGCATTTTAAATGTATATTGTAAATATTATGTGCATAGTTTCTTTTGAAAATCTGTCCATTAGTTTTTTTGGTTTAATCTGAATATCCTTCCATTCAGCAAACCTTATTCAGTGCTGCCTGGTGTTTAGCTCGGTGAGGTAGCTTACTTTAATGGCAGGGGCACAGGTTTCCAGGAAGATTTTTTTTTTTTTAATGCTCTACTGCAAAAGCGATAGGTTAAGAAGCTGGATTATCGTGCTCCAGTCTGGTGCCCAATCACAGTAACGCTACACAACGGTTATCTATTATTCAACCTGGCCTGAAAAGAAAGGCGATGCCTGAGAGGACACATGCTTCCAAAAGAATTTCCTCAGGATATTTTTAAATGCTTGTCTTGGCTACTCTTTGGAGATGTGTGATTGTGAAATCCAGGCTGTGATGAGTCAGGCTGTGCGGGAAGGGAGATTAAAAATTATGGGGAGAGTTGTTATATTGTACACAATCAATAAAATAAATAAATAAAATCAGTTTCTGTCCAGCTTATACTAGCTGCTAAGAAACTGTAAAAGGGAAAAAAAAGTGCTTGGTTCAAATGTTTGACATCTGGGATGGTCACCATGCTGCTGACACTCACCATCATACTCTGGGAAGTAGTCAACCAGATGAGAGTACATGATCTTTTCCTCCAGCAGGTCCTTCTTGTTGAGGAACAGAATGACTGAGGAGTTTTGGAACCAGGGGTACGTGATTATTGTCCTAAACAGAGCTTTACTCTCCTCCATCCGGTTCTGTTGTGTGTGTGTGTGTGTGTGTGTGTGAGAGATGAGAGCAGGGGAGGCAAAGTGTGTGTGTGTGGAGGGGCATACAGAGATAGAGAGAACAAGAGAGAGAGAGAGAGAGTTAATCACTTAATTAAACCACAGTACCACAGTCTTTCATACTTGTTCAGTAAAGATTTTAATAAAACGTATCTCCGGTGAGGGTTTAATTTCACCTCGCACTTCATTTCAGAGCTTAAATGAAAAGAGCAACCATTCTGAAAGCAAGCTGCAGTGTGAAATCTTATTTCCAAAAACAAAACAAAAAAAACATGTAATGACGGAGTACACAGGATATACAGCTGGTCAGTCCTCTGTTTCTTATAACAGAGGAAAACTCATGGACAAAAAGACAGAGAGACACCTGCTTTTTAACAAAATGACACATGCTGTATCCTTTTAGGGCGGCGATGTGGCTCAAGGCAATATTCAAAACAGCTGGCTGATCATTTACAAGTGCTTTCCAAAGAAACCAGAGGTGGAGCACTGCCAGGCAAGAGGAAACACTGATTTCCAAGGTTTTAAATGAAGAACAGATTTTCATCTTTACCATCAGCTTCACATTAAATAATAAAGCAGATTCAACAGGGAAACTGTTCTGGAAAATGTTAAACTCAGCTTCAAGTAAACAATATTATACTTAGTAGTTTGATATCATTCATTAACCTTTTGTTACAAATCAATCACCTCGTTATCTGATTCCACCAAAACTTGATCGTACTCGCTGAGCGCTACCAGGAACATGATGGATGTGACATTCTCAAAGCAGTGGATCCACTTCCTCCTCTCTGACCTCTGACCCCCAACATCCACCATCCTGTGATGGAGGAAGCATCCAGTCACTATAAGCACTGAAAATGTTTGCAGATCTGTTTCAATTTCTTCCTGAACCAAGAGTTTTGTTGATCATTTGGGTAAAAGCTGAATGTTACCATTGTAACCAAGGAAATTTGCTCTAAAATATACTGAAGAATAAAAGTGAAACTGTGTGGTTTCTTCCAGAAGGACAATGCCTCCATCCACAGGGCACCAGGGGTCACTGAATGTTGTGGTGAGTATGAACACACTCTGAATCATATGTTATGGCCTTCAGAGTCACCAGATGGACAGATGTTGGAGCAACATGTTACACAGCGTCTCCACCCCATCATCAAAACACCACATGAGGGAATATCTTTTGGAAGAATAGTGTTCATCCCTCCAGCAGAGTTCAGAGACTTTCAGCGTCAACGCCAAGGTGCACTGAAGCTGTTCCTACTTTATACTGGCTTTTCCTGTAATTTGTCTGTCAAATGTTATCGATAGAAATCGTCACTTATAAAAGAATGCAAATAAAATATGATGCTTTAAATTATTCTGCATGTGTTTTATTTTCAGATCCAGAATAAAACCCAGATCTCACCTGAATATGACACTCTGCAGGTCAAATGGGTACTCAATGATCCCCGTGGTTGGGACTCGAACCCTCAACACGTCCTGCTGGGTGGGAAGGTACGACGGGTCAGCGATCCGGTCCAATGCGTTCAGGTAACTACAGAGAGAAAATGATCCACAATGTCTGAGGCATAACACAATGCAACTTGTATTGTGCTTTGCTTGGTACCTTCTAAAAACTCTCATATTAAACTTTATATACACAAGTTTCCCTAATTTCTAAAATTGGATTCAATTGATACTGCTTTTAATATAAGAGTCCAGCTCTGACATCTGAATCCATTCTGATGTTTTCCATTCTGCTCACTATTTAGTGGAATCCGAAAGCTGGTATTCCCTTCTCCGATCATAGCACTCCTGGATGCCCGGGTCATTCCATAAGCTCCCGATTGCATCTACGTAAGGATTCTCAAACATGGTGACCTTTTCTACGTCCACCTCTCTCACAATGTTGGCGTTACCCTAGTGGAAAAAAGGAGGAGAAAGCAAACCGTGATTTCTTGAGACACACATCTTTATTTAATGGCACCACACAAAAGAAAAACATTACTTATTAGAATTCCATCAAGCATTTTTGATAAGCTACAAAAAAAGTATCTATGGCAGATAATCAACATTCAGGTTATGCCGTCCTATTTATCACTGGTTTATTTTCTCTCTCACTCACATATTCTCTATCCAGAAATTTCATTGCACCCTCAGGCTCAGCCTGGACCTAGTATCTGAAGCTCAAATCCCGCTGGGCCTATTATAGAGGAAGCTTTGCCGCCCCAGATTCCCATTAAAACTCTCGTGTGCCCCAGGACAAGAGCGCAACATGTGCCTGACTGTTGAAACCATTTCACCTGCTGCGTTGCCATTCTTCATAATTAGAATGCGTACTTCATGCTGAACACACTTGATTTAGACTTTCTAGTTTTCATACTTAGGTTTACAGTCTAGCCAAATGGTTTTAACTAAGTAACTAGTAAGGTCATCATGTGACACATGAATCCCGCAACACACACACTGCAGGTGTTTTGATGTGCATCGCACAGCGCCTGTCTGCAGTGCAACTGGCAGAGCATGGGGGGGCAGTGGCATCTGGGCTTGGGCAGTTCAAATAATGCAAATCAACTATATACAGCAATCCCAAGTCGGCTGAGGGACTAATTACGTGCTACCATTAAGACAAATTTTACCTCCTCATAGGTTGTAGCTGCGTTTGCATCACCCACGGAGCATGCAAAGTTATCTCAATCAAATACACCGTCCCAGCATTCACTACTGTAGAAGCTCTCTCTGTAGCTTAGTGCTATCATCAAGCATCAAGTGCCAGAGGCATGTTTACATTAGTGTTGGGTGGTGGTCAAAAATGGATGGGCTCGCTGAGGTGAAGTGTTAATTGATGATGCCCCGGCAATGATATTTATTTTGCTTGTACAGCTGTGTGTGTGTGATATTACAGGACAGTGCATCATTCTGCTGTTGACTGCTGAATTGCCAAAGCTGGTTTATGTCTGTTCATGTCCACGGCAGCATCACAGCCGTTCCATTTACTGTTGGTTGTTTTTGTTTATGTGAGTGTTGTGCTATTTTTCTGATAGACTCTAGGGAGGCCACACCGAGGAAGATGATAAATTGCAAGTTACAGTGTAGCAACACAGTTTTGTGTGTGTTTACATCAGAATTTCATTACAGAATTTTGACAATAGTCTGGAAATGGAAGGTAGCATGAAAGTTTATTAGCATTTATTATACATGGCAACCATGATCTATAAAATCACTTTTCATTAAGCTACAGAGGAGACTCATATGTAGACTTATACAGTCATACAATAGCCAGGACTGTGAAACTGGCTGAGTATAGCAAACACTGAAGCATAGCAAAGATCATTTTCATGTAACCACCATTCCAAGACTCTACAGACCTTAAAGTCCAACTCCACAGATGACAAACGTGGTTCCTATTTCCAGTCTAGTCTCATGTAGCTGAGTCTGCATGACATGCACTGGAATAAGAAGTGCTGCGACTCAGCTACATGGTCTGAACTCGACTGTGACACATAGAGAGAGGACATGAATGATGTGCTGGCTGGGGCCTGGGGATTTCATAAAAAATGTTCTTATCTGCAACTTATGAGATAATCCATCCACAGTGGGGATAGAAATACAATTAACAAGTCCTATGTCATAGAAGCTAAAACAGATCAGGTATAGTATCATCACCCATTTAAATGTGTGGGCTTGATGAACCTACTAGACTGACAACTAGAATAAATGCCCACAAAGGGTGTAAACATGACTGACAGGCTCCATTTTCACTTCCTCTGTGATACTGGTGAGCTCCTTTGTTAAAGCTAAATTACTTCCTATTTTGACCATATGTATATGAAGGCAGGGGGATGTTGGGTGTAAAGTGTGGCAGGCATTCAGTAGTTTTGTTGCATGCTTTGATTGTACACAAGGTTCTCTTCTCAACACAGAATTTTCAAGGACATTTCCAGGATATCTTCAATGATGCAAGGCTGTGATGCCAAATGGGGACCACATCCTAGACTAACTAGACTTTAAATCATTATGGATTAGTCTATGATGATACTTTATAACTAGTCCTTAGGTTTTTTTAAATGACAGATTATTGGTTATTGGCTATTGGCAACTGTCGCACTCTCCCAAACACACGCAGATGTTGAGTCCCTCAGTGTATAACTGTTGGTATCCTACAATAAATGTGTGCGCTTTACTTTCTGCAGTTTTTCTTCTCTCTCTCTTTCTTTACCTTGTAAAGCTTATCTTAATTTCAATGACTTTTCCATGACTGGGAAACTAGTTAAAAAATTTCCAGGTTTTCCAGGACATGTGGAAACCCTGATGAAATGCATGTATAGGTACAGTTTATTCAAACTGTGGTAAAACACAGCAAATACAAACTACACAGGCTTAAAAAGAAGTGTATGCTTGGTAGCATTTTTAAGGGATGTGGTTATTTTGGGTACTTCTATGTGAGCATGCAGTTTGGGGACAGAAGCGAAAGCAGGCATGAACGATGCCCCACAAGAACAGATTCAAGGAGTGTCTGCTCAAGTTAAAATCCAAGATGTAGTGCGATTTTATTCTCACACTTTACACTAAAAGTTATTAAATGCTCATGCATGACAGACAGCTGTTGGGAGATTTGGCTCTTTTGATCGATTGTTACAGTCTCAAGCATAAAAGTGTTGTTTTACTTCATAAATTTGATGCCTGACAAAAGGTCCAAGATCTAAATGTCCTGTCTCTGACAAACCCAGTGCTGGTGGACTGTAGCAACTCAATCATTCCTTTCACAAAATCTTAAAGTTTAAACTGTAAAGCTCTTGTGACTGAAACCTGCCAACATGAAGTCACATATGCAACATGTGGTGGCACCTGTTATGTAGCAACCTGCTGCTTTCCTTCAGAAATCTGCCTATAATGTCTGGACCAGTTATTCAGAAATACATACCTTACTCCTTTAAAATCAAATATTCTTAATTGTACAGACCACTATCAAATAAGTAATAAGAAATATCTGAAGCAAGTGTTACTTTAAATTAATTTATTCACATATTATGAGGTCTCTACACATTCCCACCTCTAATGAAACCAATGGGAGACAATAGTAGCAAAAGAAAGAGTGAAAAAATAATTTAAATGCACTTATATCCACAATTCTTAAATCTCTTAGATGCATATTACCCTGAACAGTACCTCCCTTTCCCCCCCCCCCCCCCCCGTTTTTTTCTGTGCATTATCAATAAAATACTTACTAGGTCTTACTTCTAACATCCAAAGACTATGACCTGAAGGTATCACACTGCTAAATAATTTATCACCCATTTCCTCCCCAAAGCTTTTCCACAAAAATCATCTGACTGGAATATGGCCAGGCGGGGGGGGGCTGAAACAGCGTAGTCAGCTGTCACCTGAAATGACCTGACTTATAAAGAAAAATGTAAAAAAGTGTTGCAGAGGTGATGACTCCTACACTCCACTTCTTTCGTTGTCACTCTCACGGGGAATAAACTGTGAGTAAGAGGTCACTGGGACAAGTCCCAACGCTGTGACTACAAGGGTAAGTCGCACAGAAGGAAAAGGAGCGAAGAAAGACCCGCTCAAATGATAGTTATGGAAAGTGAGGTCAAATTTGGATGAGTAGTACAGGGCAGGTCTCTTGTGTATTTGTGTGTGTATTTTTCTGCAGGGTGTATAGTATATACACACACACACACACATGCATGGATTTGAGTGCATAGAAACACATAAGTAAACACAAAAACACAGAGTGTGATGAGTGCTGGAGTTAACGGACACGGGAAGTGTAAAAAAGAACAGGAAACGACTATGGATGGCTGTTCCAAATAAGATAGACAGCACTCTAAAAATATACAAGGCTACTTCTCTTGCTGTCACCCTCCTCTGCAGTTGTCATTTCAGTTGGGGAATTTGAAATGGCTCATTTACCTTGTTGTGCTCATATTTGTAGGGGATCTTGAGTGTCTCCATGGCTCGGATCATGGCCTGCATGGCTGTGAAGATGTTCTGATAGACCAGTTTGGTAAAACCCCGTTTGTCCTCGTCAGAGTAGCCGGCACCGTGGATAATCCTCATCTGTTTGATGAATGTGCTCTTTCCACTCTCTCCAGTGCCTGAAACAGTAGATGGGGAAAGGGGAACAAGTGACCACTTATTTCTTTTGTAGATTTGTACAGGGTTTCATTTAATCTCCTGTGTCAGCGTCTGTCCTTAAATGGACATTCAGTCACTTATGGCTTTAATGGACCTCTAATTGGAACAGCAACTGCAAAAACTTTTCACAATAAAACAATGAATTACTGGATTAGAGTAAGCAGCCAAATGACAGCTATAAAAATCTACAATGCTGCAGATTAGAATTCCCTCTCACATATTAGGGCCCAAATATCACCCAGCTGTTTCTGTAGATGTGCTGTCATGTCTGAACAGAGCCATAAGTGAAAGTGAAAGTCACATACATATGTCTGACGGCTAAGAATTGGAGGTGTTTTCCAGATAACCAAAACACTGATACTAAATCAGCTCAAAGGCTCTTCATAAAGCTGACAGAATCTGCAGAGTTGGGAGATGATTCTCAATGAATTTGTGAATACGAACAACTCTTTTCAGTCATTTGATTCATTGCTAATATATAAATACTGTACTGATGAATGGACTTTTCGTGACTCGTGGCACAACATACACAGTATATACCCACATGACATACAGCGTGCACTTACTGCTAATGTACTCAGTCTCACACACACACACACACACACACACACACACACACAGACACTATTATGTGCTGCTACTTTCCTCTCAGCCGGTTTACTTGGTCTGGTGACAGACCAAGAACAACAGCTCTCTCCTCTCAGTGGTGACAGGAACTACTTGGGTGTGAAGAGCTGGGGGGACTGTTTCTCATTGGTTCACTGAGACCTTGGCAGAACAACTGAAATGTCTAAATGAGCCTCAAGGCTAACCCTTGAATAATGCTGGCAGGAAAGACAGTGCATGTGTGTGATTTATATGTCATTGACCAAGAGACGTGTGCTGCATTCCAATGTAACCTACGGTCTTGTTCACGAAAGCCTGGCTGTGCTACCACACCTTTGTACTATATAGAATATAAACTCAGTTTTAGCCAACCTGGCCTCTCTACTGTGGGCCCATAACAAACACGGAACATCTTACAAAACCAAGGAACTGAATAACCTGGTGCTGAAACCACATGGCTGCCAACAAGAGGAGGAGTACCAACAAAGGTTAACTTAATTACCTGTGAACTGCTTTTTGTGCCAGGCACGCAACCCTTAATTATAAAATACCTTAAAAAGTATTCTGTTAAAGAGCAAGAAACAATGAGGAAATGCTATCATATTGCATCTGGTTAGACTAGATTACTAACCTTTATTTATTCAGGGTAGCTTCTCGGAGAGGCCACCTCTCTTTTTCAGGAATACCCTATACATATTCATAACTGGAAGCTGCCCAGTACAACAACAGAATTTATTTTACCCTAATAAAACACATTAATAACTGTATACAATATACATAGTTTTCTTTTGAACAAATAGACGGTTCAAACTTGTGTAACCTAACTTTAACGAACCCATGGTTAGGACTTGTTGCTTGCTAATGCTACATGCTAATGCTACAAACACTACTGCATTTATCCTTTGGTGCATTATGAAATTTGCCCCTTACTGCACCAGTTGGTGGGTTAGACTTGTCACCACCTGCTTTCCACACACACTCCTTCCACCTATAATTAACCATTACATTAACCTCAATGACAAATAGCGGTTTTGCAGACCACAAATAGTGTTGCACAAGAGTTAATGCCTTACAGCATGCACCCTACACACAGACACATTCAAATTTTTTTTTATTTTATTTTTTTTTTTTTTAAACAAGCAAAGTGGAACAGTGAGTAATCTCAAAAACTTCAGTTAAGTGTGCCAGTGGGTTTTGAATTTATACAGACACAAGGGATCTGGGTTGTGCTTGTGTGGATGCAGAAATCAGGAGAGAAGCTCATGTCTGCACGCAAGAAGAGGAATGTGAGTGGTTCATAAATTCATCCCTGGACAGAAGCCTATATTTTCCCATGTGTGAACAGATAAATCGGTGCTGAGATGCTGCAATTCCATTTCATGTTACAAAATTCGAATGCAGTGAATTTCAAGATGGGTCAGTCTGCTTTTAAAGGCTGAATGTGTGGAGGAAATGTTTCATCTGGGGATTCGCCCATTCAAGAAAGTGTGCAGCTTGACCACGTACAGGTCCTAAAGGATCTTTCGTTGTTATTACAAGCAAGTGAAGACAGTGAAAAGGATATTGAGACAAGTATGGCAGGCAGGAGTGAGTGCTGGCCATTAGAGGCTACAAAGTCACCTTGCAAACTATTACAATGGCTCAGGATTAACCTGTTTTGTAGGTTGGTGTGAATGGATCAACATTACATCTGAAGCAAGTAGGATCCACAAGCCCCAAGACTTTTGAACACAGCTGGACTCAGAGGGGGTAGAAAAGGATCCTAAGGGCCATGCGAATTTGGCTGCTTCTATTAAAAATGCTATTATTCACTGGCCACAAAAGCAAGTGTTTCCAAAGCCCCTGAATACACCACAGCATCAGTGTCAGCTATGCACAGAGGTGCCTGCAGCTGATTTTATCCCAAATGGGATAAAGGATGCAAGAATGCAGGCTTGATGCATGAACATCTTTATAAAAAATGCATGAGTCAAGAAAAAGAAATGTATTCACCGCCAAGAGCTTAGCAGTACCTCATGGAGAGAGTTAACACACGGAGCCGAGACGGAGCCGTAGTGCCACACTCACTTTCACAAATGCTTAAGTGTAAACTGCAGTTTGTTTCTCTAACTAAAGTCTCTAATACCTGTGCAGCAGTAGGATCTGAAAAACACAGTCTCAGAAATTTCAGCTCAACCCCTCATCAACATACAGGTCCAGGTATAAATCTATGTTTAAGCATTCGCATGTGGAACTGCGGCTCCCTGCAGACCAGAGATTGACCCCAACGGTCTCCACTGACTGATAAGAACTCCCACAGAGTTAAACTGAACTTTTAAGGAGCAGCTGAAACTTTTGAATGATGTTTGTAGAAATCTGACAAGCAGGTTCTTAGAAATTAACTCAATTCATTTGTTGGAAGCACGAGAAAGAAACTTCACTTTTGCGGGTGTGTCTCATCTATTCAGTGTTACTGACAGGTGGCCTGAAGCCAGCAAATATCTTGGCAAAACACAAGGCAGAGACGTGACATCAATAAAAATAGTGCAGTCAGCATTCACACTGTGAATAGCTACAGTACATGTTGGTGAGAAATACTTTAACTTAAGACAACTAGATGTCAATAATGCGAAATTGTAACTACCATTTTAAGTATTTGACTGCATTACAATGTATTAGGTAGTAAAATGGAATGATGTTGTAAAATTGTTAGAAAGTGCAAAATTGAGGAGGAAAGTTAAAGCATTCTGTTGCTGCACTACTAATTGTGCTGCTTTTAAACAAACATTTTAGTGCATCCTCTCACAACTACAACCATGTTTTTGTTAAAAGCTTGCTAAAAACTGTGACAAACTTTGCTCAGTTGTAGCCTTGACAAAGTTCTCACAGCTTTCATTTGACTGCTAAAAGAGGCCAACGGTGACTGGGTAGATCAACACGTGTTGCTCTTGAGATTAAATATGCTGTGATGTTGCAATTATCTAAACAGAAAAAGTCACAGAACATGTGTTTACCCATGATCAAAGTAGTTCCTAACTGTTCTGCCTTGTGATATTTTGAATCTGCTTTACCGTCAGACTCCGTAACCCCACGCTATGATTTTCTCTGTGCATGTACAGTATGTGCAAGTGTGTAAAGGGGGACGGGAATCATAAACTAGGTCCAATGGCCTCATAAGAATTGAAGCTGGGCTGTGCCACTTTTGTAATTGAGCAATTTAAAATTAATTTATCAGATGGGGTCAAGCAGGATAATTATTCATGTTTAACCCTTTTGATTTTCATCAGATGGCTGAGACTTCAGTGCTAAATAAACAGAAGTCAGATGATTGCATTATTTATAGAAACGCAACAACCAGGCTACTATGCAGCAATAGTTGTAATCATTTTTTACTTATTCTACCCATTATTTACTCAATTACCCCTATAAAATGTCAGAAAACTGTCAGAATTTGTGTTAAAATTCACCAGAGCCAAAGGTGAAATGTCATAAATACTTTCTTTTAACCAATTAATCCCGCTCAAGGGTATCTAAACAGGTTTGGCTTCAGTGGGCGTAAAACAATGCATGACCATTTTGTGGGGTTAACTTTGAATAAACTATTAGGTTAATGAAAAATAGGCAGCTACTAAAATACACTACCATCATAAAGAGACCCTACACTGTGCAAACTGCATGTTCCTTCAGTAGTTTCACTTAATGCGTTGTCTCGTACAGTAAACGTTCCAATGAGGCAAAACATTTGTGGTTATAGTTTATCACGTATATGTATCTATACTGTAGCAAATGCTGTATTTATGACCCAAACATTAAGCAAACAAGAAAACACTACATGCAAAAGACTGTGGATTTGGTTTGTTAAGATTTTTTTTAAGTTACTTTCAAATCACAGCATCCTTTAATGCAGACAATGTTTCATCTGTTCTCACAGCTGTATTACCAATAAGGAAAAAACCAATTCTGTGCACCTCTGAATGCTGTCCTGTATCTCCTGTTGCAGCGTGAGCTCACCAAAACATGCTCCAGTTACTTCTGTTGTAACAGAAATAAAAAAAACTCAATAAACATTTCCTGATTTTTAAGCAGACAAACAGAAAATACAGCAGCCAGTAAAGTAGAAAAATCGCTCTAAAAACTTCATTTGGACATTTGGAGAAGGGCCAGGAGCAACATATACATACATAATGTGTAGCTAATATGCTAAAATATACAAAACACCGTGTCCAGCTTTTGAAAAGAAAAAAAAAAGTATTAAGAGGTTTATTTTAAGTGTCCTTCATATTTAACATAAACCAGTTCCGTTTCCCATGACTGCACAAGTTTGGAATCTCAGCTAATGTTATGGAGTCATGGTTGACCTTCTTTTACTCTGTCACTCTACATTTCTCCAGCCATGCTTGAAGAGAAGATGTTTACTTTCCTCAAAAATGAAAACATGGGAGAAATTTGGGTCTGGGGGGGCGGGGGTGTTCATCATTTTACCAACATTGCCTGTGCAATTCCCCACCAACAAGGCCTGTCATTGTTTTAACTAAGTGCTGTCTACACTCACAGCAACAGCAGTCGTTAAGGTTTTCACTCAAAGTCGACTGATTAGAAAATCTGCACATTTCAGAAAGTTTGGCGAGTGAAGGACAAATGCGCTTCGTTATCTCAACAACCAGTCAACAGTCCTCAAGGCATTGTCCACTATTCTTTCAGTGGAGCTGCTCAGTCAATGAGCAAACTAAATGACATCCTAAATATGTCGACTACACCTACGCAATTTTTGTTGGTTTGTCAAAGGGAAGGTCTTAGATTAACTGGCTGTTCCCACAGCAGTCCCAGTTGTCTGACGGAAATATGTCAAGATGTATAAGCCTCTTTATATTATTACAACTTGAACCTAGCAAAATGTTATTTTAACTAGCCATTTTTCTTGTTGTAGTGAACTATGATCTGCCTGTTTTTTTTTTTTTTTTTTTTTTTTTGTCTTTTGCAAATCATCAGTTTGACAAGTCAAGATATCTGTTGTGACAAATGTCTGTTCCACATAAATTTCACTCCACATTTTTACCCCCAGTCATGTGCGAAGGTTTGGGAGTTATGTCACTTCATTAACTGTTCATTGCTATAATTATAATTTTTGTCAAGCATGATGTAAATTGCGAATTATCTAAAGTGGGTGATACAGCTTCATTCTGACAGATTGTGTGATTAATGTTTGCAAAAAAGTGAAAAAATTACTTATCTAGTGAACAATGACAGGTACAAACTGCTGTATGATATCGTTAGCATCTCTGAGTCATTAGCTAGCATTAAACTATGTGTGTGTCAAACAACTTAACACTATCAAACCCCCCCTCCTGTTGTAACAACTCTTGCACACCGTTGCTAATAAAGTATTCTTGGTCATCTGCCCGGGTTGAATGAGCGTTAATTTCAGTACATTTCCCTTATTAGTGTAAAACGCCTTCATGGACATGGAGAATGCTCATTTGTTGTGTTATGTGTGTGTTTCAACTGTGGAAACAAAGCAGTTTGTGGGTTTGAAAGATTATAAGTGAAGTTTAAAGGCCAACACGATCTGTGAAAAACTGAGTGACTGACACTTAGAAAAACTAAACTTCTAAACTTGACTGGAGAGTTTTGTGCTCAAGTCCCATGGGGCATAAAGCAATTACTGAAAACCCACAATATGCCAACATACAGTATGGACATATGAGTTAATGGAACCATATACAGAGTGCACAACTTCCTTTGGTTAACTTGACCACTAGCAGTGGGAGTGGTAGTGGCCATGTGCTATATAGACATGGGGTAGGTGTCAAAGCCCTGTGCATGTGCAGTATATTCAGTGAGCTCTAGTCTCACTGACAAAGTGGTTAATTTGACCATAATTGTCTTAAAAGCTCAGATGTGCATGTTGGTGTACGTAAGAGCCTCTCTTCTGCTCACCAGAGTCATTAAGGTCTACTGTTCTGGTTTAGCCTCAACCATTTTCCTATCACATTTCTCTTTTATACTCCACTTAGCCTGTCTACGCCACCCGTTAACTCATTCCTACAAAATAACACCACACAGCAGACAACAGCTATCTCTATACCTCTGCCAAAAACCTAGATTCATGAGTGCTTGACAGACCGGCCCTAATCCTTTTCCATGTCACACTTACTGTATATTTTATCACTACAGGAAACACCTTACTCTACAACAGTGTCAGATTTTACTGTATGTTCCTTACAACATCACATTCAAATATATTAACTGAAAGCATTCTGTCATTAGAGGCGTGCTAAACCACTCTGAAGTATTATAGCCTAGTAGTGATTGAGCCTCCTGATAATCCATAGTACTACAGAAAAAAAAAAGTTTAATGTGAATCATAATCATGAATTCTTATTAAACATTCTGCAACACACAATAGTGACTAATAATTAGATAATTCCATAACCCGTCTTATGAAAAATACAGTCACATGCTCAATGTTACACATTTTTTGTTTGGATCATTGGCTGTTTGTGTGTTTGCATAATCGAATCACTGGGTATTAAAAGAGATTAAGGGGCAACAACAACATTTAATTATCCGTGTTTAACAAGGGAGGTAACACTCCCTCCCTTCAAATCCAGTTAAAGGAGGGTTCATGTCACCATTTTGTGCTAATGGGAGGGTGAAGGGGGAACCTTCCTCCTTCCGCCCCTCTTCAACATTCCCCCAGTAGCGAAAACTAGGATCTTAGGCTGCTTTACACCTTCTCCTCAGGAAATGAGGAGAACACTTGATCAGGAAGAGTGGTTTCTGGCACCACTCTCCACAACCGCTGTCATCATATCTAATGGACTTTCTGCTGAAAGTCTAATTAAAAACTGTATGGTGAGTAATGACTTGTTTTCCCTCAAATCCACTAGGCCTAACACTCCCTAGTGAGACTGACACCCTCCTTTTCTCAACTCCACACTGTAAAAATGCACAGGTGCCATTATTATTATTATTATACTATAGCTCTTAAATGTCATGGAACTGTATTGGATCTTGAGATATTGCTGAAAAATCAGGACAAGAGAAGTGAAATGACCATCTATTTCAACTTACTGTGTCTGTCTTACTGAATTGCTGCTGTTTCAGTTAGTCTGAGAATGATTACAATATGTAAATAGTTCAATTAATGCTGGATGCATGAGCATACCATCACACACAGCTTTTCTATCTCCTAGGACAGAATGCTCCATATCTTGTTCTATACACTGACATGTAATATAATCATTGCCAGGGTTAAGTGTTAATCTGCAGTGTCGTCCTGATTACTCCTAATAAAAAGCCCAGACTTTGGCCCGGGCAATGTCAGACACCCGTAAGAGCAGCACCTGGACGGGCCCTGTAGGCCAGGCTGCACAGGTTGCTCTATGGCAAAGTGAAAGCATGGAGAGAGTTAAGGCCCATGCTGACTGGAAAGCATTTGTTTCCGCGACAATAACCGGCCACAGTTATTCAAATCAGGTGGTTTTCACACTGGTAGCCCACAGGCCTGGCTGGGTAGCATTTCGTCCCTCTGCAGACTTGCCAATCTGTGCACTCGACTCACAACGCCGAGATATCACAAACCACCCACCCCGAAACTTTATACTCAGTTGGGGAGCGCATTAATAGACCCCCACAGCTTCGTCTGACCTCCCCCTTTTCCCGACAAAAGGCATCTTTGTTGACAGAAATCTGGCCATGGCTCGCCCCACTCCTCTCCCTCACCGTGTTTCTCCTGCCGAGCTTACCGAGGAGCAACAGTTTCAGTTCCCGGCGTGCGTCCCTCTTATCCCGGCGGAGCTGCCTCTCGATCTCGTCGTTGATCCGCCTGGCTTCTTTCGCCTCCTCGCTGAGGCAGCACGCCATTATGGATTCCAGGGTCATTTTCTATCCTTTTTATTTACTTTTCCGCTTGGCTCTCTCACTGATTCATCCAGATTTCAGATTCGTTAGAGCAGAAAAAAACCCGAGGCCTGTGAATGCCAAATAACGTCCTCATACAGGCCTACTTGTGGTGAAATAACGCGTGGACGCCCTTACAATGTGTCTGAACAGCGCACAGACTGTAGTGGAAAGGAAAATTAGATGTTTGAGATATTAGTGACCCCCTCCCCCCGTTTCGGTTCGCTTTTTGGGCCTCTCGACAGCTTGAAAATAGTATCCGAGGCGGTTTGAGTTGAATATCTGTGCGATCTTAATTGGTGTAATCTGCTTTTCCTTCTCAATATGATCAACAGATCGTTTAAAGACACACGCTCCGTACTGCTCTCTGTGTCATCTCGTTAGGCACTGCCATCCGTGCCCGGTCACCCTCCGTTCAAAGTCTTCAGTGTCGTTATTTTTCAATCTGCAAAACCCCTAATATTTAAGTTATTGTCCGTGGACGAGGGCAGCGGGAAAAACACGTGAATAAAGCTGTCCGTTTATTTTCCAATGGCTCGACTCCCGGGCGTGGTAAGGCAGAATATGGCGGACTTTCACTCCAATCCGCTAGGCTTGGATACTGTACAGTTATCTCTCTCTGTCTGCTAAAAAAAACAAGAAAGTCACAGATAACATAGCATTTCAGCCAGGGCTGTCGATACCGCGGTGAAAATACAGCCCAAGCTGCCGTACAAAGCGTCCACGTCCTTGGCTCAGGCGCGGGAGGAGAAGAAAGGAATAAACGTTGTGTTGTTGGCTTTATCCCCGACCAATCTTCTCCTTTTCCTCAGTTCTCTTCATGTATTTTTATTACAGGGGCCATCCACTCCTCCGCTGGAAGGGTGACGTCGGACTCCCATCGACTGGGGGGGAGTGTCACGTCAAACAAACGCCACAAGTATTTACGCCCCAACCTGTGGAACTGAAAATGTGCATGAATGGACGAGCTGAATTCGCTGTGGACAGCGGTGTAGTAACAGGGCGGTTCCACTTAAGTTTTGCCCTTGTGCTGCCTCTGTGGGAGAAAGTCCCCGAGAACACCCGTCACAGTTAATAATATATGCCAGTACATATGACGCATTTTAATTGAAAATAATCTGCCTCTCAGGAAATACAACTCATTTTAGATGTTATAGTGATTGCGTGGGGTGGAGGTGAATATTCACAACCTGAGTGTGGAGTGAACACAATAATAGCAGGAATCAAATGGCAGTACATTTTCCTCACGGTCATCATTATGTTCTAGGCCTAGTTTTTGTTGAGACTGATGTAGGCTATTAAACTCCATTAGTGAGAGGATAGTGAATCATATTATTTCTGCACAATATGTGACACAATGTGTGAAGTGTTTGTTCATTTAAGCAGGTTCTGAGCCAGAAGTGGACTTCTCAGGCTCTACCTATGAGAATAGTAATGAGCCTGGGGCCCAAGCAACACAGTGGTTATGGTCCAACGCTATGGCTGTAGAATGAGTGCTGACCTGATTTCGGTTTAAAGGCTTTCTGTGTGTAAGGTTCAACTGAAAACATGCCAGCTTTGTTTCTTGGTGGGTCACATGCTGTGTTCCACCTGTAATACTGACTCAATTACAAATAATTTCTCTGCACTGCTCTGCATTGCTTGTTATTTTGGGAAATAGTCGCACACCACTGTAATGATCTACAACCTTCCAATGGAAACATACGTGTTAGTCACATAAGCAGGTGACCATTTGCTTGGAAAAGTTTGTGACTTTTTAATTGCATCATAAAATACCTTTTGTATTACTGCATACTTTAAGAGTTTTCAGCAGTGTGTGACATACAGTAAATTAAATCTCTAGGTCTACACTGGTCCTCATGACAATGCAAGTGAGGCAAATGGATCTTGCAATCCCTATCTCACCAAGTCTGACATATGGATTATACTGAAGTGATGACTCTTTAAAGCTGTTTTTGTTCTGCCTTATTTCCCTGACATAATACAGTAAGTGAGGTAGCCTACTGTACATTTAAATCGAGGCAAATGAAGGGAGTAGGTCAAGGGAGATTATACGAAGGAACCCCAAATATCACCAGCAGATATATTACAGGCAGTAGACTCTTGTTTTGTTTTTTTTAGTACCTGCAGAGGTACACTTGATGTATTACTGTCTCCACTAAAAGTATAATGAAAAAACATAACTGTAGTGCATCATGCAGCTGTAATAGCCATTCTGAGCAATGAAATAACATTGTATTTATAATAGTTGCATGTTTATACTCAACTGTACTTTGCCTTATAAAGCCTGACAAACAGTAATTTAGAGTTTAGCTGTCATGTCAGTCGTTATATTTGAGGTCATTTTCATCTCACATAGGTATTGAGCATGTTTGATTTTAACTAAGTGGCCCATTTAGACCATTTAAAGGGGCAGCCTTTAGTGACTCAGTGCTTAATTGCATGTAATGCATTGGTTTAAGTCCAGCTCATGAAGTTGAAGCTGGTCTTATCTATTCTGACTGTATCTACCAAGTAGGCAAAAATCAGAGTAGCAATGAAGCACATGAAATGGAAAGACAAACTGTAAAAAAGTTCAAGTAGAATTAATGTTAGCTGTCCAGGGACATGCCTGATTCGTCCCAGATTTGTAGTTTGGGGAGCCATTAAACCCTTGCCTGTAATGAAGGTCAACCAACCAGCTCTCATGATGGTAAAAGCAGCCACAGGTCAGTAACATTTTAACCTGTCATGTGTTGTTCAGAATAATCTTGATTAAAGTAGAGATTTCCCTTTAAAGACATGTTTCATGCTTTGCTCTGAAAATCTAGCATATAACGATCGCCACAGTTTATTTTTGTCAAGTAAAAACAAGCAAATTTGAATGCAGTCAAATATATGTACAATGTAAGTGAACTTAAATTTCACCAAAGGAAAAATGATACAAGACCCCCATGACCCTAGACACTCAGCCTTTCTGTGTGGCAGCTTTATCATTTGTGATTTGTATTAGGAATATAGGCATTTGTGTCACATTATCAACTAATGATGATAAGGGCCTTACAGTGGGTCCTGCAATATTATCTAGTCTTGAAACTTTTTTTGTAGAAAATTCAGTTTTAAGGCCTTAAATATTTCAGTTGATATTTTGTGTCTATTTGTTTTTAATCACTAATACTGGTAACAGTGTACATAAATTGGCGCCCAGCGATCCCGTTAATTCAGGCATGGGTGTAGATGGGGTAAACTAGGCCAAACCTAAACAGCAAATCACTTTTATTTTGTAAAATAAACTCCTTCCGACAACTTCCTTCCCCGTGTCACGTGACCCCGTCTTCTCCTAGATACGAGAAAGCGTCTCTATGTGGTCGGCACGGAGATAGATGGGTTAGTTAAAAGACAGTTTTTAAACCTCCCCACGCAGTTAGGACAACTTACTGTCATGGCAGTCTGTGGGAAACGCTTCTCAGTTGTCTGGACAACTACTCTATCAAGTTTTAACATTTGTCCGTCCACGTTTTGTTGTTACTAATGCATTGGTCTATCTTGGAATGAGAGATAAAGATTAGTTAGCATGCTAGTGAATTAGCCATTCAACCACAGCATCACACAGTGACCACGCCTGCCCGTGGACAGGTAAGAAATATACTTCCACCTCTCTACAGGAGTGAATCCGCTACGAGTCATCCAACCTTTTTTTCATTATTAGTAATTGCGGTTAAAGTCCCTTAGTTTAGTGACATAATGGCTGCCAGCACAGTTCATTCGCAGGTGTTTTTCGAGACTAATTATTTGTGACAGCAATGCGGCTCTAATAGGATTTGAGCCTTCTCCTTCCTGTCGCTTTTTTGAGGAGTAGCCAGGACAACGATGGAGGAGCTTTAATGCACCTTTCTTCTTTGATCTCACTTTGTGCTAGTCAGTTTAAAGTAGGTTATTTTGTACATTGAATTTAAGTTGCATGTGTGATATATGTAGGTGAGCCTTAAGTAGTATACCGAGTTTAATTGTCAGCAAATGAAATAATAATCAGAACATCAGGCACTAACATAACCAAAATACAGTTCCAGAATTTACCAGACTACAAACAAGGTAATCTTACTCTCTCAAGCTAAAACATTTTTTAAATTGAACTGAATTTGTAGGGTTACAGTAAGGCTTGAGCCATTGCCCCTAATCATCACCAATTATAAAAGAGATGGATAGATATTTAGCTGCTATGGAGTCCATTCAGCCATAAATTGTGTTATATTTTGGTTCAATTTCTTTTTCTGTGTCTGTGTATCACTGTGGCCACAGGCTCCTAGGCAGGCATGGGGAAACTACAGAGCAAGTTTCGCAAGAGGTCTGAGCTCTACAGGTGACACATTTGTACTGCTGAAACACCTTTTGTGTCCTTGTTTGTACTACATACTAAATATGACTTGGATGGCAGTATACAGTATAGTCCAGTTAAAGTACTATGAAAGATGGCAACATGTATACTACCATATTTAAGGTACAAATCAGTTAATTTCACCAGCATGGATACCGAAGAAAAGAAAAGGTTCAACAGGAGCATTTCTTAGATATCTAGTACAAGAAATATGCCTGAAAATGTTTCTGTTGTGTATTTTATCCTACTATTGGTCCTTTCTTTGCAGGTTATCTCAAGGGGAGAAAGCAGATAATACCTTTGACAGTCAGGTAGTGCAGTATGAACCTGCCCATAAAGGATCCATCAACAGTGTCACAAATCTCAGCCCAGACCTGTGTGTTTCTGGTGGGAGTGACCAGGTAAATTAACACATGTATTATAGTACATTAATCCAAATTAGTAGACTTTTAATCATAGTCTTGATTATTCACTGACTTTTAGAAAGTGTCAAATGGCAGAATCAATATTGCAGTAGTTTAAAAAACTACAGTAAAATACCTAGTAGACTGTTACTGTAAAATTTACACTTTTATTTAGACACGTATGTTAGGTCATGTTAGACAAGAAAACCCCTGAGAGATTGAATTAAACTCTATATATTTTGTACATGAATCCTTAAACATGTAGTGATTAGTGTGTGCATACATGTATGTGTGCATATGTGTGTGCATGTGGGTCTGTCCTCTTAGGCTGTGGTGGTGTATGACTGGAAACAAGGGCAGGTGTGTCAGTCCTTCCAGGGTCACAACCGAGAAATAACCAAGGTAATATCAATACTGTGTGTGCACAGTGATAAGGTGTGATGTTGTTCAGGGCTGTCACACACTTTATGGGTCCTCTAGTCTCATCTCCTCTTAATTCTGCCTCCATCTATCTGCCAGGTGGTGTGTTTTCCAGGCAGTACTTGGATCTTTAGTGCATCACGGGACAAGACTGTTCTGATGTGGGACTTGAACCAGGGGGATGAACCTATTCAGGAATTTTGCGGCCATGAGTTGGTGGTTAATGGACTAGCTGTCAGCCCTGGTACACACACTGAATAGTATGGAGAAAATAATGTAACTGTTAAACATTGTTTCACTAAAGTCACTAAACTTCGAGTCTCAAGTACCTAGTGAGTCAGAGTGCAGTCCGAGTCACCAAAGAATAGTATGCAAGCAGTGACAAATCTTTTATTAATCAATTTTGAATAGAGTATTTATATATTATCTCAGCTTTTATAATTACTAAGAAAGCTAGTGCCACACCTGGAGTTACAAATTTCATCAGAACTGCTTTGTTGGAAGTAAGAATGTTTGTTTCAGTTGTAAGATATGATGTAGTAATTTTATGCACACTAACATCTATTTCAGATTACTGATCTGCCCTGAACATATGGATGTTTTTATTGCTGTGTTGTAGATGGGAGAAAGCTGTGCACTGGTTCCCGTGACAACTGGATGTGCCTGTGGGATATAGAATCTGCAAAATGTGAACAGAGACACAATATATCAAGAAACCTGGTGAGAATAATAAAATGTGCTTTTGTGTGCACACATCTTTGTGCGAAGATTAGTTTCAAGCATGCTGACTTGCCTCAGGTGTGTATCTGAGCGTGTAAGGAAAAGAAATTAATAAGCCATTCAGTCTGACTTTTTCTTCTAGAGTTCATTCCCTGCAGTGTTTAAACATTTCCACTTTCTCCTCTATCCAGGTGACTCACGTGTGTTGGGTGCCAGGCAGCTCCTCTATAGTCCAGACATCAGAGGATAAGACCATAAGGTAGAGAAAGATTTCCTGCTGCATCCAGGCCATAAATTTCACAATTTGAAGGACAAGGCCATTTGGCCTTTGATTTCATACATTTTCAGTCGAGTGCACAAAGGTCACTTGACTGAGCACTAATGACATGACATGACATGACATGACATGATATGTGTGTGTATGTAGCTTATGTATACAGCCTGAGCAGTAAAGTTACAAACTAGAGTGCAGATGCTTGTTGAATGGTTAAAGGGAAATATGCATAGATGGTATAGTAACTGTGTACCTTTATTAGAATTTGGATAGTAAGTGGTGTTATCTGTGCACATTTACACTCTAAGGTAAACTGACCTCTTGTTGCTCTCTGCTGATGATCACTGGTTGAAAGAATCAAGATATATTAATGAGAAAACAAAGGAAAAGATGTCTAATTTACTTTAATTACTCTAAGTGGTACAATAATTACATTCTTCTGGCATTATGATGACAGAATCACTTCTAGCACGGTGAAAACAAATGCATAATGGCTGCCTATTAAGGTTTTCACTAGGTTGTCATTATTGACAATATTAGTGCTTATTTAGCATATGCATTATGTCAAATAGCAGAGAACACAGTACATTTCAACACTTCATGTAACGTTTTACAGCCTCTGAGTTTCCTTACAGCTTATAGACAGAGCCAAATATCACATCCTTCGATCTGCTTATCCAGTAAAACTAAGGAAACCTTATTCTAGCACCGCTAGCTTGATTGATGCACACTCTGAGCTAAAAATAGTGCATAGATGTAGCGAACATAAGGCACAGAAGTTCATCAACAGCTCATAAAAATGTTGATGTTACCAAGCAGTGTTATAGAGTGAATAACCTTAAATTCGACATCATATTATGCCAGTTTATATGAACCATGGGATTTTATGAGGAGCGCTCCCGGGTGAACAGCTTTATTAAGCATTGTTCTCCTTAATACATCCATAAACACACACCTACGTGAGTGACTGAACATGAACGATCATTTACAGAAATTGCTCCTCAGATCTGATGAGGGCACACCGGCCACTGTGGCCGTGCTACTCTGACAGTTGTACAGAGCATCGCAGCCAGATGCCAGGGCAGTGACGACCATGGCCACACGGCCTTAGTGAAATTTATACTTTGGCTGCATCTATATTTATTGTAGATGCACATGTGCCATGTTCAGCATAGCAAGAAAACTGCAATTCAATAGAAATCAACTTTGTTTGAATTTGGTAATGTGAAATATGCTGACAAATATATAGAAATTGGAGGTGTGGATTGTGATACTAGTCTATATGCTACAATTATAAGGGATATTTCTCATTTAGTAACAATGCAGGGTCACTAGCAGGGACCTGTCCTCACTAAGTTTGAATGTGGTGAAGGGAAGAATGTATGCTTATGTACTTTGTGGTTTTGGGGAATGCTTAGGAGGTCTGCGCCTCTCTCCTCAGGCATTGGCAGACCCCTAGCATGAACAGGGAGAAATGAAGTTGGTTAATGTAGATGGATAAGGGAGGGAAAGCTTGGGTGCGTAATGAACAGCGGAAGCAGAAGTATGTAGGGAAGGGGAGTTTAAATAGTGTGGAAAAGGAAGGGGCGTAGTTCGGGTAAGGTTCCGCTCCCGAACTTCAGATAATTACTATCTCCACTGTGTAAAAAGCCACACTGAGACTGAGAGCTTAATGTGAGTCCAAAGCTGCCAACTAGTATGTTAACAGTGTAGAGTAGATAGTCTGCCCCATCTTTCCTATTTCTTGTTGCTTGGAGAGTGGCAGTACCAGGTATGTGTTCAATGGTGAGTTCCCATTTGGCTATAACATTTGGACAGGGAAATTGCCACATTTGGTTTTTGTCACAGTCCCTGTTTGGTGAACTGCCCCCATCTCGAAATTATTGATAAAATAAAAAAAAGCTTAGTTTAGTTTGTTTATATTTCTTCTGTGCGCATACCCTGTTACTGCTCAGTGATTTCCTGCTGTCAGCCAAATAAGGTCAACCAAAACATGAGCTGCACCTAGCCAGTTAGAATGCCAGAGGTAGTGTTAAGTCTTATGATTGTGCCTAAGCTCCCTCATAAAAACAGTGCAGTCTGATTACTGTTTACAGGTCATGTGAGCAAGAGGTTGCACTTAGCCAGCACCACTCTGAAGCTTTGATTCCAGACTTCATGCATCCATGTGTTAGGAAGAAATTGTGCTGACCCGTTTGTAATGAGGCAAATAAGATATTTATAGAGTTGGTTTTTTGTACATGTAAATCTGGTGATGGTATTATGAGTACATGTTGCATTTATTACTGAGATGATATTTAGGTCATTCATCGTGCTATGTCAAAATAAATACACTTGGGTATATTTAGTTTATCCTCTACTAGGTGTACAAACCACCTGTTGAGAAGGAGAAGGGCCCAAGGACAAGTTACGAACAGCTGTGGCGTTGACATGACTGAACCTTTTTTTCGAAAAGAGATGCAATCAATACCAACTTTTACACAACCCTCTGCAACTATATATAATATGTGGATGTGTACAGGGTGTGGGACAGCCGTACATGGCAGGTGATCAATACTTTTCCAGCCAAGCAGTACATCCAGACCCACTGTGATGTCTCTCCAAATGGAAACTACTTGGTGTCCAGCAGCAACGGCTTTGCAGGGCAGGGCTGTGAAGCCACGGTGAGGCCATTGCAGGTGTTTCTATAGTCCTTAGCTGCACAGTGATCGATATAAAATTAGTGCATATAGTAGAGGCTGTCAGTAGGTTACCCATTGTCTGAGGTTGATTAAATGGATTCTAGACAAATTACAAATTGTTTCCTGGCTGTGTCAGTGTGAAATCATGCACTGATTGAAGCAGGAAGGCCGGTGGCTATTCAGTCAATACCAGTTTTTTTTTCTCTCTCAAACAAAACAACAATTAGATGTTACCCTTGCACCGATGGTCTCTGAATGTTCCCCTTGTGGACATAGGCCAGTTTCCTGTCTAATCTGTATCTTCTGACAGTAGCAAGAGACAAGACACAAATATGGAGAAGTTAATCTGGTCCAAAAGCACCTATTTGAGTAACTACCAATAGTTTGGCAGTACAGTTCAGTCTAGTGAAGAGCATGTATAGATATTGTTGAAACTTGTGACATTATCATTTGTTCTCAGTGGAGTTGTGTCTTCTTATTAGCTTTGGGACCTGCGTCAACCTGGCTGTAAGGTTATGGAATACAGAGGCCATCTCCAAACCACAGCCTGTTGCATGTTTCTGCCTACACCTCCTGGTGGTACAGCTCGGGTAGCAACATCCTCCCATGACAGCTCCATCAGAATCTGGGACCAGAACACAGCAGGTAACGCCGCCACTCATGGATGAAAACATTTAAACACAGAATGACAAATGTAAACATATATACGGACACAGGTACAGACGCTGTTTGGGTGCTTGGTCTTTTTGCACTAGCTGTTCTCCAACTTTCTCTTCTGCCATTTTCTGTTCAGTGTGTTTAGGGACATTGTTTCTGGATGGTGCTGGTCCACTGGTTTCTATGGCGCCAAGTGACTCCACTAATTTGCTGTGTGCTAGCTTTAACACTGGCCTCCACCACATCCAGGTGGCTCAGGGATCAAATCAGGCTCCTGGCTCTGGGGCAGGTTTACGTGGTACAGGCGGCCTGGACGTGAAAGCTGTGGCATGTTTCTGACAGCAAAGAGGAGCCTGGTCTGACTCGTAAACCTGACGTGTGAACAGTCATTGACTCGGTGATAGTATCACTGGATGTAGACGTTATGTTTTTACAATTTGGCGTATTTCTATAAACATTTTTGCTGTATTACACTGCCATGTGGTGAAGAATGAGAGATTAAGTCAGTGAGAAAAGAAGGGGATGATAATGGAGGATGCAACTTTTGTCCAGCAGAGCCATCTGGATGACCAGAGCGTTGCCTTCTTGGACCAAGATGAAAGAACTGGGTTTCACTCGGTTTACACACTACTTGATGAGGTGCTTTGTGTGCATGTTGTATTGCTTTTATTGGTGTTCAGAATACAGATTCAGAGGACATCTTAATACAACAGGGGTGATGATGAATATTTGGAAGCACTTTTAGAGCTGGAAAATCACCTATTTGGTCAGGACTCTTTCCGAGTCAGAGAATTACAAGCCAAATAGAAGTTCATACTTCATTTATATGTCATTTTTCTCTAGGTAAAATGTAGTAGGTGCAGTCAGATGCAGTCCTTTTTGTCAAACACTCTGTGGGGAAATTGATTTTACTATCAAAACAGACTAATTATGTACATATATGTTGATAGTTGAGTAGTTAATTCTGTAGCTTTACCTACTTAGACCAAATGGATATCTGAGACACATAATTAGCCTGTTTTGATTTTCCTATCAAAACAGATTATGTACATATATGTTGATAGATGAGTAATTAATTCTGTAGCTTTACCTACTTAGACCAAATGAATATCTGTGACACAGAACTGTATAAACATGCTTTGTTTTCAGGTAGATTTCAGTGGATAAAGGTTTTTAAACTGAAGTCACTGATAGCTTCTGCTTGGTGCTGAGATATACATATAATATATAAAATCAGTCAACAGTTTGGACACACCTTCCCATTCAATTCATTGGGCAAGTGTGTCCAAACATTTGACTGATAATGTATTTGAATTTGAAAATTACTGTGAAAAATACCAGAGTAATTTTCTTGTTGATGAAAGTGGATTCCAAGGTGGAATAAAAACATTGCAAATGCAACATAGAGCTGCCCAGTGACCTCTCAACATAAAACATGCTTCCAGTTAAGATACCGTTTGATCAAGATTGATTGAGGTTTTAGGAGTTTTGAGATAGTCTACACTTTGATTTGAAATGTCAGTTTTATACAGAGTACTCCTTTGTTTCACCACCTTAAAAATTGCAATACAGAACATACCTTTTGTTTGTAGTGAAGTCAAAGATGATTACTACTGTATATCATCCAATTCAATTTTAGAGGATTAGCTTCAACTAGAGGAATAATACTGTATCTGGTGATATGCCAGCTTGGACTGTATTTAATGTCATATATTTCTTCTTTATCCCATTCGTTTGAGTACTAAAGGTGAATATAAAATCATTCATGGTATACCAGCTTGCACTGTGTGAGATGTACTGTATCTCAGTACAACAGTACGCACATTGCGCCTACTGTGAGGGGAAAAAAGGCAAAAGCATTAGCAATTAAAAAAAAAAAAAGATATTTTTTCTAGCAAATAACAATGTCCAATTGTGATGTTGCATTAAGTTTACACTGTAAATCTGATGCATAACATACAAGCAAATATTTTCCAGCCATTGACTGGTTTTCACTGGAACCAGTTGGGTTTAACTATTTTTCTCAGGGGTACCATGACAATTTGTTTAAAGAATGGACTTCCCCTGCACAGGCTTTTCCCAACTCTTCCTATAATTCACTGTAACAACAATGCTATTTCCTGCTGTGTTAACCATGACAGAACTTTGGGTGGTTGTTTTGAGCACACTGTCTTACATTATGAGAATCAGCTAATGTATATGCCTAATTCATGTGTGCAGAAAGGAAAACAAGACTGGTGCCACAACTGATACTCATTTGAACTTTTTCTTTGTCAAGTCCAACTGGAAATGAGCAACTATATTTCCAAACCACAGTGGGCTTTTTATAACCACCAAAGGCTCATCGGTGCCACCTAGTGCCAGATATGTTCTTAGTACTGTAGAAAGTTACAACTAGATACTATGAGAACTGCAAAACACAATAAAGCCTAATGGACATTTCATGAGAGAAAAGACACTTCTGGTGGATTCCTGAGCGTGGTATACGTTTATATAGGATGATATCATGTTTGACTTGTTTTTACACATTACAAAATTCTAAAGTTAAAAATACATGTGTAGGAAGACCAAATCAGCATGAAATTATTTATGAATCAGAGCAGACTACCAGTCATTCTGTGCTAATTTATTCAAATCTGGACCTCAATTTCACTCTGACACACACACATAAAAACCCAAAATGAAACAAACAAAAAAAATCCATCAACATGGTTTCATAAAGATTCAAAGCAGAGATCAGCAGGCAGCCAATAGTTGGTGGTTGCCACATCGCTGAAGAAATATCCAGCTAAAAAAAAAAAAACAATGTTAATTGAAATAAAAAAAACAAACAAAACTATAGCATCTACAGAACATTCAACAGTTAAAATACATTGGCACAGGATGTTTTAAAAGGCAGGCTACATGGAATAACAGGAATATTGTATACAGTACACTACATTAGCCAAATTCATTCAGAAGACACTTAACATAAATATAATCTGAACGTAACATTCAATCTAGTGGTGAGAGACAGTCATCTTTAAGCAGTTCAATGGTAACGTGGAAGATGGGCGTGTCTACTGCTAGTGCAACGTAAAGTATAGAGTCTTCTCTGTACTTTGCCTTGGGAGTGTTTTCAGGCTGATTTGTCTCAGAAACTGACATTTTTGTTGTGCTAGAAATAATGTATGTTCCTGACCCCCCGAAAAGTTTTCAATGTCTACAACACCCCTCCAAATCTTGAATCTTTTAAAACTCTCAACCAAAAATCTGTTTGAATGAATGATACAATAATGATAGAGAGATCGACCACGTAATATCACCTGACTCCAACTTCCATTAGTGCTATGTTCTATTGGAAAACTTGATAAACCATCCTTCAATAACATACCTAATCATTACTCTTCACTTAACATCTACTGTACATAAATCACACATGCCATTAGTTTACATACACAGCTCACTGGCTAGACTGTTAGGGTAAACACACTACAAGACACCGGGATCAAACCCTTCCTTTAAATCAGCTTCACGTCTTTATGTATTTTAACATGTACATAAGATAAATAGCATGGCTGTGATGATGGAATGCAAAAAAAAAAAACTCACAGGGTTTGTGTCAAGCTTAGTCTTGTAATGTGAGACTGTGTAATCATTTGGTCTACACAGTAATCAGTGCAAATGAAAACTGTAATGGTACAAGGAAAAAAAAACAACACATCATATGCGAGATCTCTGATATTATTCACCTCTGGCTGATTCATCACATCACATTGTGAGAAGTGTTCTCTACATAAGCAGTCAACATGAATATACTGTAAAAACATAGCATGCAAGAATATCCCAGATTCTTATGTGGGCTACCTGCTGTGGCTTTACTGCAGGGGAAAAACTAAAAACTGGGCTTGTCTGGGCAAAATGGGAACTCTCCAATAAACTATGATTAGTTAAACTTTAATTCCAAGATCATGTCAAAAGGCAAGACAATGGGCCTAATGAGAATCTGAACTCAGCTACTGTACTAAACACATGACAAACCACATGTACTGTATTTACTAGAATAATTAGAATAAGCAGGGAAATAGGCAGGGTTCTATTTTGGTGATAGAACACTTTTCCCCTCTGAAGAGCAAAGGTAACACTGCACCCTTTACACCCTTACCTGGCTGTCAAGGAGTATAATAACTGGCTGGTTCTTGGATTTAGACAACGAATATATAAAAATACTACAAACAACAAACATAATACCACGGCAGGAATGTACAAAGAAACTGATCCCATGTATACCTGACAAAAAGCCTGATCCTAAACAATGAACTTGTATAAAGACAGAGCAGGCCACTGTGACATGGCTCAAACCACCCAAGTAATTTTTCTAGACCACTTTTGTGTATTTGCATTCACACATTTAAATGTTAAAAACTGTTTTCCAAATTAAAACTTTAGAACCACTAGCTTCAGTTCGAATCCATATAATAATTCCACAATAGTATAAAAATGATTGACCAGCTGGACTTAGACTCTGAATCAAAAGCTCCAATTTCAACATGGTGCAAAAACATGTTTTGTGAGGTACTGAGACAGATTTGAAAACCATATCTGAAAAACTAGTAGTGACTTAAAAATACTAATACATGATTTTAATATACTTGACATATTGTTTCCAAATTTGATACATGCGTTAGTCGAGTCCCTGAGATGTTGCTGCCTTCTTTGTCCTTGTCTGATGGTCACCTCTTAATACAATGCATTTTCAGTTCACAGGTCTTACATACACACACAAATGCTTCTGTGCACACATTCAAGTAGGTCTCCCATTGGGGGCATTAGCTCATGCACCCATACACACACACATTCACACAAGAAAAAGAGGTCCCAGTGTCAGACTACTGTGTTGCCACTATGGAATGGACAGTGATGAAAAGTAGTTCTACATCATTTTAACATTTTGGATGGAAATGGAATAAATAAATCTAAGGACAACTATCCAACAACTTGAAGATCTGTACATATTAGAAATACAATGTTTGTATCTGTCCCCTGCATCACACACCCTGCCTCTCTCTTACTTCAACAGCTTACCTTCTAAAAGGAGAAAATATTTCAGATGAACCTGTGTAAGAATAACACCCAGGTTATTCACAAGGAAAAAATAAATCACATGTTTTGCTTACTTGTTTAGCACAAACACTGATGATACTTATTCAACTTGGGAGTTTCTCAAAAGTAGCTGAGGTGTAGACTTTAGAAAACAGACATCTGATAACCTCCTCACAGATGTAGCAAAAACTTTCAAAGCCTTGAGACAAAAGTAAAAGAAAAACTGTTTGGTTGGTTTGCATAAGCTCCAGGTCAACTGCCCACACCTCTGAGGATTTTTAGGTACCTTGTGATTAAAATTAATTCATGCTATTAAAATGCTGTTTGCAAATTTGTCCCCTATCTGACGGTGAGAGTTACAAATACCCAGTAGTTGTGTTGCTGCTGATGTCATAGGAAACCTCATTCTGACAAATGCAGCCATTTCTGTGATCGCCCTCTCTCCCTCCTCACTGCCAACCTAAGTCTACTGCTCGCCGGTGTGTTCCAGGCTGTCAATAACACGGCTCAGCCTGATATTAAGCAGCCTGACCTGAGTGTCCAGGTGGTCAATTTTCTCTTCAAGCGAACCCGCGCCACCTCCCCGACGCCAGTACGCTCCTACAGGCCCTGTCATGAAATACACAGCCATGATGAAGCACAGTGGCAGCACTGCACGCTCAGGGTCACCTTCAAACTTCTGGAGGATGTAGAGACAGGACAGGGCGAAAAGAGTGACGCGTGCGAGCCAAAAGAAGCGGCCAAATACAGCATGCAACAGGTAGAAGAACCCCCCCAGGAACATGGAGAGGAACCAGTAGGCCAAGAGTACGGCGGCAATCAGGAGCAGTGCACGTGCTGGGGAGTTGGTGAGAGATGTGAAACTGAAGTACTGGCTAAGGTTTGAGGCTACAGAGGAAAGAGAATGACAGAGAGACAACAGCAAGTTAAAACAAAACAAAACAAAACAAAACATTTACATCCTGAGCCTAGAAGCATTTTATACGTTTATTTCAGTGCATTTTGAATGTCTTTTAAATATTCACAGTGTCTACCTCTTGCCAACTCCCTGACATTTCCAACAAAGAAATATTATATCTCTACATTCAAGTACTTACAGTCGATGCCCATCACATCCAGTAGATCTGACCAGATCTTCCAGATAGTGTCCAGGAAAGAGTCCACTCCATGGACAAACCGCTCTGTTGTTTTGGAGAAAAACTGTACAAGAAAAAAAAAAAAATTGTGAAAGACGTGTAAGACAGTTTAACCGTCTACTATCTACATATAGACCAAAGAATCTGACCCAGGAAAAAACCTGCCAATCAGAGGACATTGTGTGCAGGCACACAATCAGGGTCAATGAGCTCATTTTTATAGTACAACTGGTACAATGAGGTCAAGAGACTTGTCTTGATTTTTGTCTGTAGTACCCATTACTTGATCCTAGGGCACCTGCAAAAGAGACCCGATAATGTGCAAGAATTTTGCTTAAAAAAAACCTTGTAAATGTAAAAATGGCCCGTTTGGTATAAAAGAGGATCATCAACCAAAACATCAAGAGAACTACAGTTTTGTAACTTAACTCAATATACTCCTGAGATCAAGAAAAAAGCCCTTTGAACAATGTGGATGCAAATTAAGTCTAAAATTCAGTATCTCTCTGGCCCTATAAATGACCTATGTGGATATAAATCAATATATGCCGAGTTACATCTGTACTGATCATTTCAGTCTTTGACGACGGGTCTGGTTATGGCTCTCGTATGTAACTACAAATCACTATTTCTCTATTCATAACCTTTACTATAGTAGCCTGCCCTAACACACGTCACTTTAGTTTGAACTGGCGTCAACAAACAGGACATAGTGTTAGATTTCAAAATGCAGGAAGTACCACTGGACCAATGGGGGCGTGCATACTAATGTGTCGCCTTAGCAAAAACAGCTTCTGGATAATTTGGAAATTAGTCGACATGAAGAATCAGCTGTTATGGCCACATGCCATCTAAGCGGTGCCACGCTAACGTTAGCTACGCTCATTGACGGACTGAGTACAATGAATGAGAACTATTTACAGGCCGTTATTAAAGTAAAGCTGCACCTCAGTTTAGGTGTTTACGGTAACGGCACATCACCTGACATCGATTCAGGTGGATAAAACATGGGATAAAGGGTAGTTCCCCCCCTCTCCCCCCTCAAAATGGCATCCCTGAAGTTGACCAGGCCCGCTTGCTTCCTGCTCAGGCCACTAACTAAACCGCCTTGGCTGCTATTAGCCGCTGGAACAAAACGAGCTGTTATTTTGATAATACCAACCCCACACTGACCTTGTACAACCCTCTAATGTGGTCCTCTCCGAAAACATTGCTCAGTGTCTGGTAGATGCCATTAGCTGCCCTTCGGATGCTGTTCTGGTTGCTGGGTCTGCTCCTGCCCGCGTCGGCTGTGCACAGCAGAGACGCGGAAAGCACCAAGAAAAACGCAAGAAACCTGATTCCCTTCATGGCACTAAAGACCTAGAGTTGTTGAGCAGAGATGTGTATTAAATAATTCAATTAAACGCAGCTAGTTAGCTGCCTGAAGTGACAACTTGGGGGTGGAGGGGATAACGGGCTGTGATATTAACGATAGCCCGTGTTTGCTTCATCGACGCCTCGTAAATTCCTCTTCCCGTGACTTGAGTTGGCTTGTGGTGCTCCTGCAAAGGGTCGTGTGAGTACAACAGACATTCATTGTTGCTGCTTTATTTTGTTGTCCAAACGCCACTTTGCTACCCTATACTGCATTGCAAGAATGATATGAAAATGACTTCTTTGTGATACGTTAATTGCTTAATTGCCTTTATCCGTACCTTTTAACTAACTCAAATTATTGTCAGTCGAGTCGGTAATATCAATATTTATACTTATGAGTCTCTACTTTGGGGGTACTGTCAAAGCCATTTTCCATTACATTTGTTTTTGTTTTTCTCTATACTTTATTAAGGCATATGACAGTAGTTATACATAAGTAAATAGATCGGAAACAAGAGGACTATAACATAAAATAAAGAACATAAAAACAAGAACAACATCGAAGCAGACAATGTGAACATGAAACTTACAGGCCAGGGGGTGACTTAATGGGTTAAGTTAAGTAAAAACATTCAGGGAAGTACATATATTACAAATTTTGATAACTTTTTTTATTTTCGCTCTTCAGGATGGAAGAGAAATAATTTTTAATTTCGCATAACAGGGCAGG